TTTTCTGGTTAATAAAAACTGTTCTATGTTTGACATTAACCTCCAAGTTACATTGAGATGCAGTTGAAAAGTCTTTGTGTTGCAAACATTGGATTCATTATCATTTTAACTCACTTTATTACGTACCAAGTGTTTTTCATAAAACTTTGCGTACACATGACTCCGCTCTATAAATCTCTAACACTGTTGACTGGCTCCACGTGCCCGAGCCTCATTTCCACTGCCACACTTATCAATAAATGGGGACAACGCCCACAATCACCTGTTTGAATATGAATACTTTTCATGGCCGCTGAGAGCTGGCACACAGAAGGAACATGCAAACTCCACACAGAAGTAAACCAATCCAACCAGCGAAGGCAACGATCGTTAGCCAATCAGAGGCAGCGTAGGGCGGGGCATGTGAACTCCACGTTAGGATTCGTAAGTTTACATCCGGCTGCTGTAGCATTGATAGCTAACCGAAGGATAAAGTCACAATGGAGGAAAAAAAACGACCAGCTAGAGAGGGCACAGGTGAAGTCCAGGAGAGCAGCTCCACCTGCACTACATCGTTTCCGTTTGGTTGTAACTTTTCCTCGGAGACGTAGACTGGAGTATCAAGCTAGCACCGCCACAATTGAAGAGTCTGCTGCTAACAGGTGTCAAGCTAGGACTGATTTGGCGGCATTTGAGGAGCTTTTCCAGCCACATAACTTCAATTTTCCGGCCAGACGTTTTGGGAAAGAAACTTCCAGCCACCATCTTGGTTTGCTAACTGTAAGTGTCTTCATTACGTGGCGGAGTGTGGTCAGGTTGTGTGTTTTGGTTGCGTGAAGAGGCAGCAGAGGGGAAACGGTTGATTTGGTGCCACTTCACCTTCCCGAGGAGCTGGACCCAGGCCGTGCTGATCTCCAGCTCAAAATGCCAGGTGGTGTCACCGGAGAGTGTCGTGTCACAGTTCAAGATGAAACAACATGTCTACCTAATCTCCATCCACAAACAAGAACTCTGTTTACAGAAGCTGAAAAACTCATAGTTTTGTCGGTGCCTGCTCATCTCTGTGGCCTTATGCCAGCGGACCTTCTCCACCTTGTATCACCTGAAAACATGGCTCCAGCAACACCATGACCCAGAAGAGACTGACTGACCTCTCCCTGATCCATGTCCACACTGACATTTTGAACTCACTGGACCTCCATGCCCTTAGGAGAGACTTCATTTCCACAACACCATAGCGCAGTGCCACACTTGGATTATTACAACTACTGGAGCAGCTGACCTGCAGCTCAAGGTAAGACATCTGGTTTATTATAAGCTGCCGCCGAGCAGTTAAATATTCAGTTGTCAATTACTTTTAACATCACACTGATATACCTTTTGTTGAAAAAAATGTGCATATTTGGATATGTTCTTGTGTGCCCTGCGCAATGGGCTTTTGGACATGTGTATTGCAATGTCATGGCATCATTGTGAGCCATTATTGTGCAATATTTACATTACTGAGTCTGACTTTTATAGACCTGCTGCTGCTGTTGTTACTGCTGCTGCTTTTTTTAGTCTGTGTTGCACTAGTATCGTTGTAGGCCTATGTTGTATTTGTATGGGTTTGCTTTCGCCTGCTTTCGCCTGCATTGTGCCACAATGGCGAGGTTCAACAACAACAACAACAACAACAACAACAGTAGAGTAGCAGTCATCATGCTTGACCATTGCTGTGGCTACTTCCAGTACATTGCCCATATCAGTAATTCATCAGGTGTGTGTGTGTATTACATCTCAGTCGTCGTCATCATCAAACATCAGAATGATAAGCCATGATTTTGTTTGTAGTGCAAATAACAGACTGTCTTCCTTCAAAAAAAAACAAAAAACAAAACAAAAAACAAGCCTATATTTTCTGTGCAGGAGCTTATTACTGATCTGATCCACACCCTCAACTGGGTGTTCATTATTGTAACCATGGTGACAAATGTCCTCTGACCTTAAGGAAGAACTTATTCTAAACCAAACCATTTTTTTCCGGAAACCTAACCAAGTAGTTTTTGTGCTTAAACATAACCAACTGTTCCACAACCTTCACAACATGTTTATTATTCTTATGAAGGTCACTTTATACCTGCCACTTGTATCTTGTATGCATCTTTAGGTTGTATTATTGTTACCATGACAACAAAGATTGGGAACAAGTGACATCTGTATTTAGTAAGATTGCAGGGTATTGTGAGAAGAGAATCTGGGAGGAAGATATGGTGGAGGATGGAGGAAGAGGAGGAGCTAGTGGATCTTACCCGGTACAATCTCAAATAGATGTCTTCCTGGTTCATCCGGGTTAGCTGTGAGTTCATTCACCTGGCATCCCTGCAGAGTAATGCAGCCCTGAAAAAGAGGTAGAGGTGTTTAAATACTGAAATTGGACAAATGTAATTTTATTCTTCCTTCTGCTTCTGTGCTCCATCTTTCCCTTCTTACAATTTTTCCTATGCTCTGTCTTCATTTCCTTCAACATTTTTGACCTTCCTTCCTTCCCTCTTTCCTTCCTTCCTATCGCTCCACTCTTAACTCCTCTAAAACCGAACAGGACTGAACAGGGACCCGCACAGATTATTAGAATACATTATCCAGATCAATACCTATTTAGCCCTGAGAACTGAGGCCAAGTGAGCTGTGAAGGGATGCCAGCGTCTGTAGGTCGGCCCTGTTAATCTGCGCACTGGCATCCTCCATTAAATAGGGAGAGCAGTCTGCCAAAACCGCCTCAGCTGTAGGGCCGGGCTGTCGCCAGCATTAGTCGCCATGGCAACAAATGGAAGGGGCGGGTGCTGGGGATGGATGGAGCACAGGGGCAGGGCAGGAACCGGGGGGGGGGGGGGGCTCCCAAGGGTGCTATGTGCTCGGAATCACACGAGTAGCTGGCCGGGGATGAATGGATAAGAAAAAGCAACACGTAACCCGAGAACAGAAATCACACGGTCAAGCTGTGGGAGATGAAAATGTAGGATAGTTTGTCCTCTTCTGTATTTTAGCACGGAGACATAGTGACTCTGAGGTAGAGCTCACGTTTTGTTACAATCGTTATAAAACTATAAGACTTCAACCAGCTGGTTTAACCTGGTTTGCTCATAAATGTCAGTTATTTTGGGAAGACAGAATCGTCCCTTGCCAATATTTGAGTGAACTCGTTCGCACTATGTTTGGAGGGAAGTCATTAGATCATTCCAATGTGCCCTCCAAGAGGCTACGTCTCCAAGACAACCGATTCAGGCATGTTAGCATTTGGTTGACTGAAACACACAGCGGTACCTAGCGTCACCAGAAAAATGTCAAATGATGTTATTTAACCATGTTAGCTAGCGTTAACTAGCAAGTTAAGGTCAGGTTGTTAGCAGTAAACATAAAATGGTGCATATATGAAAGTATTAGTTTAAATTCTGTTCAGAAATCCCATGAAAATGTCACCATGAACTAGGCGCATGGTAAAAAAGCGCTATATGTGTTGCAAAAAGCCATGAACAATGCATCTGACTGTTGGAGTTGCTTTGGTCTTTTCCATGAAACAACTGAAACTGGAATTCATTAGTTAGCATGAGCCAAACTACCTCAAACTAAATCAACAGATAAATCAAAGGAAGAGGAATTACCCTCCACACTGCGAGCATCCACTTATCACTTTTTGTAAATTACTACACCATGCTTTTTTTGTGTGTGTCATGAAGATTAATTTTGTATTCGAAGAACTAACGATCCCCTCCTCCTCCACCATCACCACCGCCCATGTGTTTGTCTTGGAGCTACGGAAATCTAATATCTGACAAATGAAGTCCATTTGTTCTGTAGTGGATTTATCCCCGTGTGATGAAAGGGGAAAAAGAAAACCTGCATGGATCCTGCATCAGTTTTGCCTTTCCTTCCACCAATTATCACATCCTTTCATCTTGGTACAGAGGGAGGAGGGAATGGGGGGGGGTGTCTTGTTCTATCGCAATGAATTGCCTACGCCCGCCCCTTCAAACCCCACCACCACTCCCAGTCTCGAATTTCCAATCGATTAGAAGATGAGAGGGAGAAAAAAGGCCAGAATGACGCTTTCTCACACATCCTGCTCTCAGAGGGGGAGGGTGTGTGTGTGTGTGTGCGCATGTGTGTGTGTATGTGTTTACGTGTGCGTGTGTGTACATTAGCGTGCATTCCTCTGAGTGTATGTGTATAGTGCATTCAGCCCTGTGTTTTACTTGAATCCATTGGGAGTTGCAAATCAATGTAGGCTGAATGAGTATTGACAGCCTCTGATTAAAGACAGTCTGTCGAAGCCTTCAGTCATTTGTTCTCCACAGAATGGAGACTGCGAGGAGGACACGTCATTCTGTGTGGATGTAGTATGTGTGTGTCTGTGTTTGTGCGTGCGCGCGTGTGTGTGTCCGCGCGCATGCAATGACGGGGACTAAAAGACAGTGATGGCAGACGGATGCTGCCTGCATTAAATGATTGGCCGTCACACAGAGTGAAAACTGAGGAAATCAATACAAGTGTCATGATTTCAACAAGGAATGTAAAGAGATGATTATTATACTCTCTCTCTCTCTGTGTGTGTGTGTGTGTGTGTGTGTGTGTGTGTGTGTGTGTGTGTGTGTGTGTGTGTGTGTGTGTGTGTGTGTGTGTGTGTGTGTGTGTCACGGTTGCCCCTGCTGTCTTTTGTTGGATTACATCATTGCTTCTTATCACAACGATACAAGCCTGTCATCTACATTGACTGCCCATCCCAATATTATTTGTTTTGTTTGTGTGTGTGTGTGTGTGTGTGTGTGTGTGTGTGTGTGTGTGTGTGTGTGAGTGAGTGTGTGTGAGTGTGTGTGAGGTCAGTCCCGGCCAGCTACCGCACTGCTTGTGAACACTTCAGAAACAATTGTGATCGGAAAATATGAGTCAGCACCTGGCCACAAACGATGTGCTCGTCTCATCAGAGAAGCAATGGGATTGATTAGAGATTTACACTGTAAATATTTTTACGATGGTGTACTAATGGAGGGGGAAACCAAGCGTCACATCCTTCTATTTGTACTGATGCACTGAAATGTCCTGAGAGTGTGGTGAGTCATCATTACCGCTGACAGGAATGAATGAAGGGCCTGTTTTAGTCTGCAGATGGAGGATATTAAATCTGGGCTCCAGCAGTGACTGACATGTCGGTGTGGTGCTGCTGCTGCTCCAGCTGTCAACATCATCTTTTACATTTCAAAGGTCACAAGTGGGACTTTTCTAAACTTGGCAATATTTCTATGTGACTTCGGGCAATGCTGAGTAGTTAGGTAAAATTGCATAATTGTATTATTGTAACTCGATTATTGTTAAATCGTGCTGCCTGTGGCCATGGCCCAGGTAGCTCCCTTAACTGCCTGAAACCTGCTGACTCCTCAAATACACAGCAAGTCTTTGCCACCTCAGCAAAAGTAACACTCAAACATAACACTGATTAGCATTTAAGAAATACACTTTTACATATTATGTATTAGATGCATTTACAATACTGTGCAAAGGTTTTAGATTCTTATCCATCACTCAGTAACATCAGGGAGGCATCAAGCATCGCTCTTAAATTAATTCTGCACTGGGACAATGAGCCCAAACACACAATCATAAAGAACTATTATAAGAGATGAGAAGAAGGAGTCCCTACAGCAGATGGTCTGGCCCCCACAGAGCCCTGATCTCAACATCATTGCATGAACAGACAGTGAGGCAGTGTAAATCCACAGAAGAACTGTGGCAAGTTCTCAGAGAGTTAGTCAAGATACCTGCCGAGTATCTTGAATAACTGTGTGCAAGTGTACCGAGGAGAACTGGTACAGTTGCTGAATGAGAGGTTAAAGCATCATCTAAGTTATTACAGTTCATCCTGAGGGGGAAATATATAAATTTAAATCAAAACCACAAATGTCTGGGGCTAGAACAGTGACATGTTTTGGAATTGAAAATAAAATTTGATATTGAAAACCAAAGCTTGAACCCTTTTCAGTGCCAAAATGAAATGTCACTGTTCTAGCCTCATTTAAAAACATCAATCTCATGGTGGTGTCAGGAGAAAAATCAGGGGATCACTCAAGTCAGTAGGCGTCATCCTCTGGGGACCATGAATGTCTGGACCAAATTCACACCATCCATTCAATAGCTGTCGAGATATTTGTTGAGATATTGGACCAGAGTGGTGGATTGTTCAACAGACAGAGCCATGCCACATACTGCATATGGCAATGAATGGAGGGCAACAGATAATTCACGTTTTCTGCTACTGAGCTTTAAATAATCGCCGAATTAACTTTTGCGACTCGTCTTCCAACTAGAAAAAGATATTTGGAAGGAAGTAATTATAAAAAAAAAAAAAAAAAAAAAAACAGGCCTCAGGATCTTGCCTGAGGACACATACTTGGGATCAAAACCAATGACTATGATTTATGGAGGGCCTGCTCTGCCACCTGAGCTACAGCCACCCCGAAACGTTTTCACACTCTAATCTGACCCTATTGATGTCTCATCCAAAATAAAATAGATATCATCTGAGAGCAGCTGCAGATTTTACACCTGCTTCTAACAGTCGCATTGATAAAATAATAATCTAAATTTCCTTTCCCAGTCCTTTTTTTTTTTTTTTTCACTGTCCTGTCGGTGTGTTCCACTGTGTGCAAACATGGCCGTTACCTGTGGTTTGGTTTCTTCCTCGTCTTTGTAGAAGAAGAGCTGATCCGAGCGCAGCACAAACCATCGCAGCTGCCAGTTCTTCATGATGCTGCGCTGCTTCTTCAGCCAGCCAGCCTTCAGGGCCCCCTCCTGGAGGCTGGGGGAGGCCGGCCGGCATGAGCCCCGCGACACCTCGCCCATCACCATGCTCTTGGACCGGGCTGCGAACACACACACAAACACACATATACAGTATTTTTTTTTATTCAGCGTACATACAAGCAGTCAGAAAGCAAAAGGGTCGTGTAGGTCAAAGAGGATTGAATTGGTTGTTCTGCCTGATTTACTATATGTTTTCCATTTGTCTGGATCGTGTCTTTTCATTTTCTCTCTAATAGAAGGTCGTGTTAACCCTCATTCTGTATGCTGTATGCGCACACATGCTCTGCCAGCATCCTCAGTCATGAACACGCACAACCTCCTGTCCCCCGGGCTGCTACGCCCCTTTAGATGAAGGGGGAGAGGGACTACAGGCACGAATAATAACAGAAAGCAGATAACGTAGAGACTGTGAAAGAGGGGGTGCAATGCACACACACATACAGACACACACACACGTGCACATTTACGCACCCTCATACAGAACACATAGCCTCAGGTGACAGGGATCCCCCCTCGCATTCGGAGGTCCTTGGAAGAGACTTATTGTGTGTTGCCAACAGAATAAGAGAGGCTTTTGAGCAGAGATAATAGGACCACATGGGACTGACTGATCGGCTGATTGACTGGCTGACTGGCTGGCTGACTGGCTGGCTAGCTGACTGGCTGACTGGCTGGCGGACTGAATCACTCTCAACAAACGTGTGTAACCTGAACTGAGTCAAGGACAGGTTTAAAAGGGAAGGGATGGCTGTGTGACAAGTTTGAGCCTCTCATTTCGTCCACACTTAAGCATGATTTCTTCAAAACTACATGACCATCAAGCATGCGTCTTTTTTTTTTTTTTCTTTCTTTTTTTTAAGAAGATATATTTAGTGACACACTCACAGAACATGGCTGAAGGTTTTAAGCTCTCGCCATAGGGCTCTATTCTGGTCAGGCAAACAAGGCAATGCCATTTGATGATCATGTATAATTTATAGAAATCAATTGTGCAGACATCCTCCCTGCTGGTGTGCATTTTGTGCCACACACGTGCGCACACACACTAACACGTGCACGCACACACACATATGATCAATGTTCAGATGGCGCATGGGGGAGGAAGGGGGTGGATGAATGGGAAGGGGGAAGAAAATCAATGTTTATACCATTTTATTGTCTCATCTCTCTCTCTCTCTCTCCGGCATACATTGAGTTTAAAGGGCACGGCTCATTTTTATTTCATGTCGCAACCTGTCAGTCTGCAAAGCCTGTTGCTCTTCAGAGATGTGTTAAATGAAGAAAAGGTGGAGAATTCTTTGGCCAGCATAATTTTTCTATGGTTGTGAACCATTCATTTTTATTGTGAGTTGGTTTTTGATATATGAATATTATTTTTTATTAATGAAAGGAATACCAGGATAAACATATCAATACCCAAAGTAAAAAGTGCCACCTCAGAAAGTAAATGAAAATAAGATAAATAAAATTGGTTGTTGTTAACAATGTTAACTTGTTTTTCCTTTTGCTCTGTTTTGGTCTTTGGTTTTGCCTGCCAGCTGTTTGGTGCTGGGCAGGTAGCTTACAGTGGATTTATCAGAGCTTTTTGCTGAAAACAACTGCCTGCTACAGTGGTGAGAGCTGTGGGTGAAGCTGTGAGTTGTAAAACCAAAACAAAGAGCTTAAAGATGCTAAAATGCTCTGTAGAGTTGAGGGGAACTGCAGAGTGATAATTCCCTGTCACCATGAGCAACATCTGTCACACAATCATCTCATCCATTGCTGATTTAGAGATATTTATTAGTGCAACTAATAAGTCTCAATCTAAATCTCTATAGATCCAGTACCAGTAGTTCCTTAAATGTTTACTGAGGAATCTAAATAATAATTTCTGTCAGAGTTTATAATGTGTTTGGTTGTAGAATTTCTCAATTTCAGTGTGTAGTTTTCAGTGTGATTTCATTATCCTTTTGCTTTTTTTACATTTCACGTTCATGTTTAAATTTCTTCTTTATGTGTCTTGCTAGTGGCCAAGCATTATTCAAGTTCCCTGATTTTTCCCTGGTCCACGCTGTCATAGTACGTTGTTCCTTTAAGGCTATGTTGTGTGTGTGCGTGTGTGTGTGTGTGTTTAGACAGTCAAAAAACACTGGGAGTAGTGTCCATGACGTCCTCTGTTGTTTTGAATTGGAAATTCTTGATGTCTGGTGTTTGGTTTAGGGCTACCGCTCTGAGCTGACTGAGATGACGCCAAACATGGAAAAAAAATATTATAACATTTGATGGAACAAGCCAGACATTCTTCCTTTGTGTTTTGTTCCCCTCTCCTGCTCTCTGTCTCTATTTACCTCTGTCTCCACTACCTTGGTTTTTCTCATTTATCCATCTTATGCTAATTCCAGTCTTTTCCAGCTCTGTATTTTCACTCCTCGGCCTCGTCTCCCTCCGTTTCTCTTACTTTGACTCGCTCTAATTCTTCTCCCCCTCCTGACGTTCAGCACTGCTGGTCCTATTGAATCAAAGCTCTGTCATTATGGAGAGCACTCAGGGCACATGCACACATGCAAAAACACACACCACACACCACACACACACACACACACACACAAAAGAAGATCATTGTTCTCACCAATGGCACCTAATTAAAGCAGATTTTGTCTCATAAATTAGTTCTTGGTTTAGAGGCACATTTTCATTGGCTATTTTTTAAAAATATAATTATTTCTATTGTTTTTGAGGACATGGGTAATTTAGGTATTGCAATAGAGCTATTTCTTTTGCATTTCTGCTTTATGTTTATAGCAACAATCGAGATAGACGGGGAAGAGAGAGAGGGAATGACTTGCAGCAAAGGGCTAAACTCAAACCCAGACCTCTGCGGTACGGACTCGTCCCTAGTGCATGCTTACGCGCTCTACCATTGTCAATAGTCTGTCAGCTGTTAGTGATGTATGAAGCTACAGTTTTCTTCTCTTTGATTTTCCTCAAGAAATCCAAACCCAAATACTACATCTTTAAATTCACCGTTTAATAAAACCAGATTGAATCGTAAGAGTCCAGCAGACCAACTTGTCAATGTGTAATGTAAGAATACTAATTGCAAAATAAACAAGTTATTTCTTTCCCCTGACTTTGGGGAAAAAAAAGAATATGTGAAAAGTGTTATTATATCCCTTTGACCCAAACTGGACGTGTTCATTTGATTAAAGTGACAAACTACAGAAACGAGCATAAAGCATTGGTATTACACCAAATAAGGAAATATTTCATGATTTATGTTTTACATTGGCTATGAATAAACAAATATATAGTGCTTTTTGTGTGATCACCATCAACATCTTCCAACATTTATTTTTCCCCCATCACGAGGAAACTAGTAGTAGAGATTGTTTGGATAATGTAAACATCGTGAATGTGAAGTGTCACGTCCTCTCAGCTTCTCGGGGTCTTGCTCTTTCTGTCACATTGCTGCTAAACGTGTCGCTCACCTTCCCTGTCCTCCTTCACCCCTCTGTTTTTCCTCACCCCGTCATGTCCCTCGCGTCTTTCCATCCGGCCTGGCCGCAGCGTTGGCATAAAAGAGCACCGCTGTTCAACACATCAGCTGCCTGGATCACAGACTGAGTGGAACGTACACTGGCCGATGATTCACGCCTGAGTCACAACAACTGATTTTTGAGTGTGTGTGAATGTGTGTGTGTGCCAGGCACAGACGACCCGCCGCGCCAATTTGGACCTTCTGCTCAGAGTGATTCAGACCTTCCTTGGCTTGGGTGGAGCTGCTCTGTGGTCACTTCTACAACTATCAACCGCAACGCTGAAAAGAGGCTGTTTTACTGTAAATGTGCACTTTATGCACAATCACTGCAATTCAATGCTGTAGGGAGCGTAATTGTGGCTCATTCATTTAGAGTAGCTAGCAGTTACAGAAGGGCTGAGTCCAATAATAGGGCTCAACATCATGCCCGGCTGTGTGCGCAGATGTGCAGCGGGCCCACATTTGTTTATCATGACACACCCCAGTGATAATCTATGTAAACTGGCCCATGTGTCATGTTAGCATCATAGCTGAATAATTCTGAGCATGGAGCCGAGTATCCAGGAATACCAGATGGACTGGCTGCTCATTCAGTCATGAGCTCACACATGATATCATGAACGAGCGTGTGTGTGTCGGTGGGGAGGGACATGCGCCAAGCAGACCGTATATTGTAAGAGCACTTCATAAAACTTTTAACTTCAGCTATCATTTACAGCAAAAGTAAAAAAAAAAAAAAAAAAAAAGACTTAAATTGAACCCACAGAGAAATACGCGGAGGTCCTGACAACCCCAGTCACACCAGATTTAAAACGGCAAAAATTTAAAATGTTGTTATTGTGATCAGTGGATTAGCTCATGAGGGTGAAGTAAATCTGTGTGGATTTTTCACATCGAGTTCAGCTCTGGTGAACTTCAACACAGGAAAGCTATCATAGCTTATTACCTGTGTTGCACCATTCAGTATTACTGAATCTAAACAGAGAGACGTTGTTTTCAGACAGTTGTGAGACGGGAGTCAGTCATTTCACCCAAATAATATTTGAAAGGTGATGTCCAAGCTTGGTCTGTTACAGGAATTGACAAATCAAATGAGAAATGCTGAAAACAGGAAGGGACAGTCTCGTAAAAAGGGCACAGAAGAGAGATCTGCCCTTAAAAAGCTGGATTCACTAACGTCACGTCCAAGTATGAGAGTAATGTTACAATGTGAACAAATGGTTGTCAAATCAAAACACAACTGGTATGGCACATGAAGGGAACACTTGATGCTCTATCCACACACACACACACACACACACATACACACACACACACACGCCTAAGCACACACACTCTAGGCCACTATGATGTCACTTAAAGTAGTTTGGAGCCATATATTTATCATCAGCAGGAAATGGATTTATGGCTCTTATGCACATCACAGAGGAGCCCATCCATTAGTATGGCGAGGCGGGTACTCCACAATAGCTAGACAGTGCTACACTGATGGCTATATCACACACACACACACACACACACACACACACATACACACACACAAACACGTGCGCAAGCACGTTGGAGGAATTCAATTTCATTAATTTGGTTGTTGTATAGTGATTTATGGTTCGTGGAAAATAGCACAGAGTTACAGGTGCATCAGGGCGTAACTTCCAGTTAGCCTATCACTGTTGATTAATGTGTTAACCGTTATATATATGTGTGTGTGTGTGTGTGTGTGTGTATCTCTGTGTGTGTGTGTGTGTGTGTGCGTGTGTGTCTACGGCAGCCTTCCTTGACAGGCTGTGGGGGGGTGTGGCCAATAACATACGGCCTGTATGTGAAAGCTGCAGTGGAGTGGAACTGATCCAGCAGCAGCGGGTGTGTGCATATCTGTGCGTTTCTGTGCATGTTATCATCTCCACATGCACATTATCCGAGTGTGTCAGTGTGTGCATTTTTTTTTTACATTTTTTTTTATCCATGCTGCGAGCTCTTGCTCACAGTATCTTAGTGGAGGTGCGTGTGTTTCATTCATATGCCTCAAAAAGGCAGAATGTCAGGGTGTTGCTACATTGCAGGACTTTGATCATAAAACCATGGTAACGCAGATCAAAAAGACACAGCAAGAGAATGAAGCAGCTGACATGTGGGCAATTAAAGCTGCTACTAGATTTCTGATGCCAGCCAAAAGAAAAATGCAGCCAGAGCCCTATTATAGTTTTAATACGTCGATGTTCGTAGTGGTCACTGAAGCACAGCAGTCAGATTTTACTTTTATGAAGCTATAAAACTGACTGATGTGACAGAGGACAAGCTAACCTTCCACAGTCATGCAAATCAGTTTATACACAGCATATGTAAGCTAGTTAGCTTGTCAACTGTCCTTCTAGCATCATGATTGTCACAGCCATGACAGATCAGTAAAATTGTCAATGAAACTTATATGATTAATTTATACTTTGATTGTACTCTTTGACATTCCAGTTTGTTCGTCACAAGCAGTTCCCCCCCAATGCATGCTGGTTAGTGTTGTGTCCCTTTTATGACCCGCTCTGACCCTAAACGAGTACGTACTACACCACTACATCTGTCACATACCCGTTTACTCATGGGCTTCATGCAACAAATGTGATGCTGTCAGCGGTGAAGCACCAATAATGCAGAAGGTATGCAGAGAATGCTTCTCATGCAGAATCACAGAGTCGCTTTACTCTCTTAAATTTCCACTTTCTTAACAGAAATGCGGGATGAGTGGTTTTCCCGCCTCCTTGATTTTTCAAAACGACAGCTGCATTTTGCTTTTTTTCTTGTAGATCCACGAGACCGTCTTTCTCACTTAATGAGCTCAAAAATGGAGCTTAATGCTGCTAATGCTAAGCCATAATGTTTCTTAAAATTATTTTATGCAGCCTAATTGCGATCAATTAAGTGCAATGCACAAAATGCACACAGTGAGTCAGTCTTACTCATTAAGTCAGTTGAATCTGCTTTTCCCTCTTAATATACGCAAATGCAGCTGTAATCCACTTTGCTACCAATTTCAATCTGCTCCAGTGGAGGATTTACACATCACTCTACCATTCTTGGGAACTATTCATTTCATTTTAATCAGATCCAGCTACAGTATATAATTGCAGTCATGGAGATTAGTGTCAAGGAAGGAGGGAAGGACGCACACACTTGCACACATGGACATATTAATATATCCATCCACACATACACACATAGACACACACGAGTCACTCACACGCGCACACACACACACACACACACACACACATACACACACAGCAGCAGCAGCAGCTGACGGCAGCCTGTTAGTGCTGAGCGTTGCAGTGATGAAACTAGAGATGCTGCTCGCTCCTGTTAATAGAATTCACGCTGGCAGCATCGGCCAGCTGTAGTAGCATGCTAATGTGCGCGTGAGGTTCCTTGCGTGGGCAGATCATTCAGAAATGCATGCAGGAAAACAGAAGGAGTGGAGGAAAAGTGTTTCTGTAGACATATTCTTGTGTAAAATGAGAATTATAGTGGAAAAAAGCACTTTTTAAAAAAATACTATGTGTTTTTAAAAGTGCAGGTCAGTGTTCGGCAAGAGTCACAGCATCACTAACACATTCTTTAATCTGATACACTCACATCTCAGTCCCTTTCAGATGTGACATTATGTGTCAGAGTTAAGGATGAATAGGCAGCTAATGCAGCTGCCAGGTACTGGAGATGTGAAGGTAGAGCGAGCAAACCATGTCCTACCTCTCCTGGTCTGTCTGATCTTTGGGCTCAGCATTGCTGTCATCGCTCGTCCGCACACTCTCCTGTCGGCATGTTCATGTACATCCAAGCACCCCACCCCTGTCTCTCCCTCTGCCTCTCTCTGTGTCTCTGCCTCTCTCCTCTTCCTCTTCTCTCTCTCTCTCTCTCTCTCTCTCTCTCTCTCTCTCTGACCTTCTGCAGTGCGGCCGGCAGCTAGGGGGTTGGGTGAACAGGGGAAGGGAGGAGAATGGAAAAAGAAGGGGGTGGTGAAGGAAAAAGGAGGAGGAACTACCCCTTTTTCTCTCTCTCTCTCTCTCTCTCTCTCTGTGCACACACGCTCAGTGGCCTCCACCCCTCCCTGTTACATTATTCATAGTGGTACATGCGCCTGGTTGTAGATGGGAGGAGGAGGTTTTTGGGAAAGGTCTCCCACCAGCAGCACACACATCTGACCAACTAACAGATGCTTGATTTTAAGTGTCCTTATTGTTTTTTACAATGACTGCTTTTAAAGATTTCCATGTGTGTGTGAGGGGGGAGGGGGTGTTCATCTGGCAGGTGTCTCCTCCTTCTGCACCTAATTAAGCTGTCGAGGTCCTCAGCTTGCCTCCACCTCCTTCCCTTAATCACTCATTTCCCCCACCCTTCTTCTGCCTCCTCTCACATTTTCTTCCCACCTCTCTCTATCTCTATCTCTATCTTGCTGTATCATATCAATATTTGATCTCCTTTTCTCCTCCACATCTCTCACATCAATTCCCTTCTCATTTCACTTTGAACACTTTCCTTAACCATTTTTGTCTTAATCCCCTTTGGCTTTCTAAGAATAATGCTGCATTCAATTCAAAGTCAGACGTGGGAATTTCCCAACTCGTACAGTAGGTTAGAATTACATCCTCCAGGCATTCCAGTGGTACAACTCAGAAAAAAACCAGGAGAGGAAAAACATACAATTCCCCCAGTAACAAACATGTCCTGTTGCCTTGATCTACAGCGGCCTGTAACTGACACAACAAAGTGTGTAGTGGCTCTGGTAGCAAGAGAATCTATAGCTAAGAGGAAAAATGTCACAGATCCCATTTTTCAATACAATGAAAGTAAAGATATTTTAATCTAGTTTTCATCAGTAAAGTTTTAGTCAAAATTTTTCCATACATTTAAATTCTCATACCTTTTTTTTTTTTTTTTTTTTTTGATACGAGTGAATCCAGTTGTCATTCCCAGAGCCATTTACTCTTTGTTGTTCTAGCATTACTGCAGCTCTGTGCTCTACACATACTCATATAACATGGCCAGATAACATTAACTCAATGGATAATCTAATAGTGAACCTTTACTGTAGAGGTAGATTTAAATGGTGGACAGCCTACATTTAAAACCTACGCTCACTCCTGTCAGTAGAAACACAAAAGCTAGCAAACACCAACGTAACCTCCACAGCCATTAACAATGTTAACGTTAGCATTAGCTTACTTTTTTTTTTTTTTTTTTAAATGAATGAAGGCTACTAGAGTGTGTGTTTTCATATTTTGTCCCAGCTGCTTGGTTGCTGCCTGTTTTCAGTTTGACTGAACCGCTAACGTTAGCTAACGTTAACATCAGCGGCAGAGACAAAAAGACTACTGAAATGTGTGATGCTATTATAACCTTTTGGTCTGTACGATGGCTGAAGAGCTTGTCAAGCGACAATCACCACCACAGAAACCACGTTCGGCAGCAGAGAAAACTTACAAATAGCCCCTCTAATGTTTTCGTTGTGGTTGAGGTTAGTTTTGGTTTATGAAGTTAACACTGAATGTCACCAAATGCGTCCTGGAATAATTATAATGTTTTGCATCAAAACTTTAACACATTATTCTGCCTTCAAGGAGCATCTTTGCATCCCCCCCCCCCTTCTGAATTTCTTGATCTCAGGCCTCTCTGGAAGGCAGCATCAGACCTGTCGTGGCTGTAGCAGCTGTGCTGTGTTTCCCTCCTCCTCCAGTGTGCAGAGGATAATAGTCTTAAGTCCTGCACTGCAATTGAATCAGAGCTGGCCTCTCGTCAACCACAGCTGCTCTTATTACAGAGCAAAGAGGGAAAGAGACGCACAGGGGGTGGAGGGGTGTGTGTGTGTGTGTGTGTGTGTGTGTGCGCCCTCACACATCATACAAGCACATATACACACAGAAGGCAACAAGCAGCTAAAATGAAGCAGCAAATGAACAGATAGATTTAATGCGCGCACACGGAGCCGTTCAAGGTGGAGCCAAAATGAGTCGGACAGAAACAGAGATTGGGGTCAAATGAGCTGAAGGAGTGAAATAGGAGGGCCACGCCGACAAGAAACCAAGCTAAAGCAGAGCGAGGGGCGGGGGCGGGGGGGGGGAGTGACACACACATACACAAACACACCAAGAAGCCAAAATGAGACAGCAATAAAAAAGCATTCAGTGCCAGTGTTTGGTTTAAGCCTGAGGTTGGGTGAAAGCGATGTGGCCACACCGTGCCTGGGTGTGGCTCTGGGTGTCGTTTCACTCTGGATTTATCACCCAAATTATCATCATTTTGTTACGTTATCACAGAGCTGGATGTTGAACTAAAGCAAAGGAGACAGGAAGGTGAGAAAAGGAGGGAACACGGGTTCAGAGGGCGGACTTTTGAAGCCACACACCAAGACGAGGGGGCAGAGTTGCAAACCACCAGAGCAGTACTCAACCATAGCTTTCCTGTTTTTGTTTAGCCATAAACATTGGGTTGCTCTCTGTATACACTTCACTGACACCATAACTCTTGTATATACAAGCTTCCACGTCTATTTCAGAGCTCGCTCGATTGTCAGGCTGTTCTCTCCCGCTTGATGTGAAGGAGACAGCTCGTATCAGAATAAGTCCCCCGTTAGGGTGGAGCACTGTGACTGAGGTTTGTAATTTTCGTGTTTGTGAAATCTGCTTTTGGTATTCTAGTCCTAGCTAAGTTGTTGATTTCTTATGTCTGCCAGAATGGCTTTTGTCAGAAGCCCCAGAAGATGGTAATATTTTTTAAAAATCTTGTATAAAGATTTTAACTTGTGTGCACCAGTTTTTTTACCTTCTTTTGTTATTATCTTGTTCCTGTTTGTACAAGGTATTTCCTAGTGTGCACAAGTTGAAATCTTGTTTGTAAGTTATTATCTAGTTCACACAAGGTGTAATCTTGTCTCCGCACGTTAGCTCGCGCAAGATATTGATCTTGTTAGTTTTTATCTAAGTCACACAAATACCTTTCTTCACACAAGCTAATACCAATCTTGTTTGCTTGAGTTGTTATCTTGTGCACACAAGACAATAACTTAATTGCTTACACAAGATAAAAACTTGATTGGATCCTGACAAATGTGATATATTGTAAGGTGGAATGCCTTTTCTTCTACAAAGACCACAGTTATCTGGACTTTGGCAGCAGAATTAGCCGCGAAGAGTTAAACCTGGTGACTTCAGGTAGGAAGATGTGGATTAACTTTTAGTAACTGGAATCTGGATGTCCAAATCTTTTCTGATAGACTCCATAGGCCCTGAAGAGTTCAACATTTACCATTTATTGTATATTACATACTATTCATCACACATCACATCAATAAATTAGTTTTACTTCATTATGAGTTTTCCACTGTCTTCTTTTTTTTTTTCTTCAAGCAAGTCACACAAAATACTGAAATCTTTGCAGCTCTCTACGCATTGTGTCTTGCATTATGACTAATGAACAGCTTAGTGTAAGTAATGCATGCAGTCTCTATGGGTGTGAAATTTTAACACTGATGTGGGAGACGGATAAATGGCATTGACTCAAATATAACCCAGAAACATTCATTTTAGATCGGCTATAACAAAAAAACGTTTTGCAGATTGCAAAGTGTGAGAAAACAGTAGATCTTGAATTAGAAATCAGTGACAAGAGCGGCTGTGCCTAAAACCTTCCCTGTGTTTCTTGCTTTGATGAGTAGAGCGTTAGTTGTGGTGCTGTATCATCACTCAGCCCCGTTTATCTGTCTGATTTTAATCTTCAGATGAGTAACTCTATAATCATACAACCATCATGATGATCTAATGCTCACAAGTTGTTGAAATCCACATCTTTCCCATGTCTTCCATCCATCCCTTATGACATGATTGTCGTATTACACTTGTGATTTTCCTGGTGTGAAAAGCAAAACCACCTGCTGTGATAATGCTCTAGATTCTTGCTGTGTTGCACCATCCTGTTCCAAACTGCTCCATTAAAGAGTGATGATTTACAAACAGGAAGGAGTCAATGGTGCACATATGACTATAGTGCGGTTAGCAGTCGAGCTAACCGTGCTTGCTGTCGGTGAAAAAGCCAGCTAGCTTGGCGTGTGCTCCTGTCTGCAGCAGTCCTCCAGCTAGTCCTGCGAGTATCGCCGTGTCATGAAGCTTCATGCACCACCTGTTTTACAAGGTCACACACATGAACCGCGGCTCCGCCACTTACAGTGTGACCACGGTTTAAGATTCCTGACACACATTCTGCTGTCATCACACAGTCGCTGTTTGGCCTGCAGAATAACAAAACCCTGTATGTATAAACTGAACTCAATCCTGTTTCTCTGTCGTTACTTATTGTGTTTCTCGCTCCTCCGTCACCTCAGTTGAGGTCAAGTAATGTCGCAGAGGATGAACCATGCACAGAATGCTAACAAGTCCTCAAGATCCACAGTGTTTAAAAAAACCCTTTGAAATATTGATATCGAGGATGATTAAAATTTCATATTGGCAGGGATGGGCTACACTAAAACGGACCCGTGGGTGGCTGCTGAAGGTGTGACTGTTGATTTAGCATTATTTATTGATCGCCAGCAACTGACTGTGACGGGACGCTACAGTCAGTGACAGAGGGGTTGTACTGACATTAACTCTGCCTCTCTACATACATGTATTATAATCAGATTTAATTTCCATAGTACATTTTATATAAATAACTTAAGGGTATGACTTACTACATTTATACCAACATATGGTGAAGATTTTCCATTAATGTGAAGGACTTACATTTGTTACATACTTGGTATCATATTGTATCTATAAACATTTTCTAAATGAATGTTCCATAAAACAGACTTTATTTTGATATCAACATTACAATAGATATATAAATATATATATAAAAAGGATTAGAGGGTTTTGTTAATATAAGAGATAAGATAGTCCTTTATTAGTGGGGAAGTTTGTGCTACAGCAGCAAAGTGGACAGTAAAAAGAAATGCAAGATGAAAATTCAAAAGAAAGTTCAAAAATACTAAGAAAATTAACAAAAGATAAATGATAGATAAATAATATAGTATGGCAGTATAGTATGTAAAAATATATATTAGAAATATGTTAAAATCGTGTCAAAATGGAGTTTGTTAATTGTAGCACATGGTGAGTTTGTAAGTTTTTGGTGTGTGTGTTATTCAACACAAACCTATTATATTTTTGAATATACATACATTTCAAAAGAAATGCATGAGGAAATCTTTATTTACACTCGGTGCTGTTATGATAGGAAACTTACAGCAGGACGCAGAATGTTAATTACACATTATAAAGTGTCTGCATGCCATGATGTGATGAACCTTAAAAAAGCTGAATGAAAGATTTTATGCTACAAATTGTGTTAAAGTTTAAAAATATCAGATCATTCAGCTGCTCGTATGTCAAGGTCCTGACAACTTATATTCTGTTAAATATTTAATTCAGGTAAACTGTTCCACTTGCAGTAACCAAATAACAATGTGTGAGCAGCAGAAGCCTGAAAGTAGAAATGTTTAATTTCATTGCAGTGTTAATTGTACTTCAGCTAATAAGCTAAAACACATTTTTGCTCATTAAAACCTCGTCTCTCTAATAAGTAACAGTCCAGTGACTGAAGCTCTCGTTCTTTAATTAGGAGAAAGAGAATTAAATTGGTGCTGGGTCAGAGAGTGGTGTGACGGACTGAAGAGACATTCAGCAGACAGGTGTTTTCCCTCGAGTTCTGTCTGTCCGTCTGCCTCTGCCTTTCTGCCTCTAACCCCCTCTCTGCCCCCATTACCCTCCCTCCCTGCTCTGTCACTGACAATTAGCACGGGGCCATGATGTCATCCACTAATGGTTATGTGAGGAGCAGACAGGACTGCGGCGTATGCAATATGGATGGCAGCCTTCTGCCTGTCTGACTGTGTTTCTGTCTCTTTGTCTGAATCTTCTTACTCAGTCTTTTTGTCACATTACCGTCACAGCATAGAGGCGTTTTTCGGAACAAGAGCTGCTCTGACAGCGTAATGCAATTAGTCGACTTTAATGTCATTGTCAGGAAGCTAACAGCATGTCTACAGAGAAAGTATTTCAGCCGTGTTCTTCAGACTCAAAATGTTTTTAAGTTAGTTTCTTTTTTAAGTCAATTTAGCTCGAACCCATCTCTGCAATCTTATTTCATTGATTGGTGTCCCAGGTTTTATAACTCCTGACTTCAGTTAGCTTTTGTTGATGTGATTAGCTGAGGGGCTCACTACTTTTTCCAGCCCACACTGAATGTTTGAATGATGTGTTCAATATGGACAAGAACAAAACGGTGATTTGCGTGTTATTAGTTAAAATAGATCATAATTATGACTTGGATGATGATCTAGGGAAAATTTATACATGAATTCAGATATTTATTTATATGAAAAGTGTTGCTGTAATGTGAAAGTGAGAAACTTACCACCCGTCTCTGCCATCCCTGCCGACTCTACATGGTGTTTTAGTGTCTTTCAGCTCATTGTTTTGGTTTTATGGCCCACAACTTTACTGTTTTGGTTGATTCTCACAGCTCTCATGAACCTTATTCCCAACGCTGCAGTCATCTGTTTCCACAGAATAACTGCCCAGCACAAGCTGTGCACGGTCAATTGTGATGCTTCCAAGTGGACAAAAAAAAAATCAATTAATGCAGGTTTAAGAAATTTGCATTATTACAACGTCAGTTTGATTTTGACTTGCAATTATACAAATGATACAAATAGAACCTTTGATACATAAAAATGTAAATGTTGGAAGGACCTTGACTTGACTTGAAAGCCCCACAATGACTATTTGAGTTCCTCGTTTCATTTCTTGTAATGTAACAAGGTCCAAGTGTCCTCTATCTCAGTCAATAACAGCCAGGGCCATGCAATGAAAATGAATTGCATTCTATTCGTGGCCACATTGCTTTGCCTCTGCAGCACTTCTATTTCATTCATTCAGCCTTCCTCTGTGTGTTTGGGGTTGATTGATGCCCAGAGAGAGAGAGAGACGGGGGTGGGGTCGAGGGACTGAAGGAATGGCTGAGTGAAAAAGCAGGGCGAAACAAACAGACAGCACATCTATATGTGGGTGCATGTGTGTGAATTGATTTTCAATAGCTCTGACGGTGTCTGTCTGTAAGGGAGCGCTAGGCAAAGAGCATTAGACTGCTCAGCTGTGACCGACCTCCAGCTAGCTGGGAGCTATTTAAATAAAGATCACATAATAAACCAAACGGTGGTTAACAACAGAAAAGCACCATGAAAAATAAATGAATAATACACATATAATGTGTACAGATTATTTCATTTGTGCTGTCAAGATAATAGATGCATAAATATTAGATTTTAAACCTGAAACTTGGTAACACAGAAATATTCATGAAGCTGCATTAATGTGGTGTAAAGATTTTTCAACTGTGACAGACAAACCAGAAAAGTCCATTCAATTGATGCTGCACAGCTATAAATATAATAGTGGTTACAGCAAGTTCTGTAACATCTTATTTGCAGCAGCGTGGTCGACTCGTCACATCCATCATAATCTCAACTCTATAGGTTTGTTTTGTTTTGTTTTTTTTTTAAGAGGGAGCGTACTGCTACTTACTCCAGGCCTCTGCTCTCTGTCCTTCATGTTTTACTGTGTCTCTGCTCAGTCTCACAATACGGCTGAGTCAATACCAGGCAGCTCGCCTCTTAATGAGTCTATCTACTGAGATCTTAATCCAGTCTACTCAGCACTCTTCAGCTCAGTGAAGTGGTAAAAACCGAATGACACGGACCTCTGAGGTTATTCTGTTTTCAGATTGTATTGACTGTTTTTTTTTTTTTGTGGACGCAGGAAGGCAGATGACAGCAGAGTGAGAAAGGATTGATCTTGAGCTGGTAATAAGTTAAACGGGGTGATTCCACCCACTGATCAACAGTCGTAGCCCATGAAGGTGGAGAGAGGGAGCCCAGTCGGGGGGGGGGTGGCAGCGTATGAGCTGTGGGTGGGAAGGAGGGTGTTGATTGATCTAACCTACCTGTTCTTTTTGTTCTCCCACTGACCTTTAAAAGGTATTTGTTTCATTAGTAAACACCTGGTTGTTTAGTCTGTTTACAAACCAGCACATGAAGTTGTGTTTTGTGGTTCGGTTTGTTCATAAAATTCCTTGTTTTTCTTGCACATGGTTCAGTCAGCTGATCTTTCTTTCTCGCCAGAAAACCTTTTTGTTTTGCCACTTCCCCTCATCCTCTCATTTCTCCTTGGGGAACATAACACCTTGTATTTAAGTTTAATACACTTCCCTTTGTTAATTGTGTTTGAATATTGCATTAAATTTGAATTATTGGCTTTTTTTCTTGTATGGTTTGTTGTGTAGAATAAACCATTAGTGAAGCGAGGGGCTTAGCTAGGGTTCTCTGATCAAAGTGGCCCACTGGATGTTCAGCTAATGTCTTTTAACACAAAACTTTATTTTTGAATAACTTGAGAAGAAAATGTGACAAGCATCCAGACTCCTCAGTTGTTCCTCAGCAGTTCATGATAACAAATATAGCACTCTGCATGTTGTGCTCCTTAAGATTGGTTGTTGATCCTTACTGTCAGTGTTAAAACAGCAGATGGCGCTGTAGTGTAAGTTAAAGCTCAGTTTGTGGGAACAGCACAATATGAAAGCATCCCGAGTGTTTGAGTTTACAGGGAGGTAAAATAAAAGGAGAAATAAATCATTTTAAATTTCATATATGCCTTGTATGAATGTGTTTTTAACAATAAATTTCCTTGTCTTCTTAGCTCAAGTTATTTTGCTTTTCACCACATCATCCATCTTCCTCCTCTCAGTTTGACACATATTCAGGCAGGTGTCACACAGGCAGCTCTCTGTGACCAGGTAAAGCCTCTCTGTTGTCATTATTAACCCGTGGCTGGGTGTCAGCTCGGTGAGGATGGGGTTCCTGTCCAGGTTGACCTTCTCCAGTTTGTTCATCCTCGAGAGGCAGGGGGGGATGCGGGTGAATCGGTTGTCCGAGAGGCCGATGTGGCGGAGCTCCTTCAAGGCTCCGATGGAGGACGGGAGATCCTCCAGCAGGTTGAGACCCAGATTCAGTGTGTGGAGTTTCTTCAGCAGGCCCAGCTCGCTGGGGACGCTTGTCAGACGGTTGTTGCACAGGTTCAAAACCAGCAGGTTCTGGAGATGGACGATAGTCACAGGGAGCGCCTCCAGCTACGATACACAGGGACACATTCTGTAGTGAACAACAAAACCATTTCCTGGATTTTTTTTCTTTATTCTTTTTTCTCTTCATGCTCTTTTGTTTTAATGTATTGTAATGTGCAGATTTATACAGAAATTGCTCTGTAGCCAATTACTTATCCACTATAAAAGGCCCCATGAAACTCAGGGGCCCAGAGCCGGAAAGCACAAATATAAACAGAAATGTCAGGGGCCTTAAAATGGTATTAGCATTATTAGATCATTTTAAGGCCATGTCTTACAGAGGAGCCTAGATTTAAAATCTAGTTTTCAAGCCTTCATTATTTCACTTTATCTTCTTTTTCTGTGGCACATCTTTCTAAATGCATTCATCAAATATCCACAAACTAATCCAAAAACTAAAAAATAAAGTTATTTTGACTACAGCAATTTAGTATTGCATTTTTGTAATTACAATTGATGCAGCAGTGTCACAGAGATCCTGACTTTTAATCGGGAGTGTAGAGTGTCGACACCTCCCACAATGCAACTTAACACCTTCTTTGCCGTGTAAACACTCATGTCTTCCAGACTCACAATCTCAGTGGGCGATGGAGGCTTTTGGTTTTAAATTTCAAGTCTCCCAGGCCCAAGTCGAGGGGAGAGCCTCAGAAGATTTTAAACAACAGACCCGGTTAGACTCCACATGACAAGTAAACTGACCTTTATGTGTAAAACTTGCTGCACTGTCTCTTTAAGTAAAACCCTGGTTTAGTTTTTAATAGAATAAGTCACAGTTTTGACAGTATTTGGGGTCAAGTGATAGAATCAAAGAAATCAAAGGTGCCTTTTGAAGCGTCTTTTCTTCAGCTTCCTGTCATACTCACGTAGTTACTGTGCAGATCCAAAACACTCATGTTGATGAATTTATCAATAAAATCTGGAATCTTTCTGATCAGGTTCCTGCTCAGGTCCAGTTCATCGATCTCCCACAGCTTCTGGATGCACTTAGGCACCGTGGCGAACTCCTTGAAACTGAGGTCCAGACGCCGTTTACCATCCAGCGTCAGCCCCATGTAGTTCTGAGCCATTTTCAAGGTGATTGTCTTCCCGGTAGACTTTTTGCCTTTCTTTCCTTTGGCCATGCTGCTGCAGGGAGACAGAGGATATAGTGGACAGTGACGGGGTCTGTGGTTAACGTGGAGTTGACAGTTGAACTGGTCTGCAAGATTATGTTTCCCAACACAGTCCAGCAGCTGTAACAGTAGACCGAGTTTTACCTTTCTCCTCAGATAAAATACGCATAACATTATCACTCATTGTTTCATGACAAAGCAAATTCACTACAGGGGCTTTACTCTGGTGTATGTCCAATGAGTGTATTGTTTAAGAACAGTACTATGGCAGTTCAAGTGTAGTGTCAGTCAGAAGTGAATAATTGTTTGTTTTTAACATATTAGTTTAGTTTTCTTACAAAGAAATTAAGAATCAAGAAACTCTTATTCCTCACCAGCATTAATAAATCCACAAAACCAGTTCAAGAAAAAGACAAAAAGAATTAAGACTCCAAGTTCTCTACATCAAGATTCCCCTGAAGAGAGTTGTAAATAGAAACATGAGACTTGTCGACAAGGAAGCAGGTGACATGTTGCCTGGAATCCTGCAGTTTTGGTCTGGACTCACTTGACCGGAAATGACATTTGTTTTCATTTGTTTCTAGGCAACTGTTGTCTGGTCTGAGTGTACTTTGTGGCAGGGAGCAGCGATAGCAGGACTGGTGGCTGCATTTGGAAGCCATTTTAAAAAATTACAGTAACCATTTCTAGGATCTTTCTCTTTTCAATAAAAGTGATAGGGGAGGGTGTCGGTGTTGCTCAATGATCGTATAAGGCAGTGGAGGATGTGATTTTCCTCAACAGCCTCAGGGTTGCCAGGTCTCTAAATAAAGCAGTGAGACCCTGTCATCCCATATAAGTCTGGCTCACAGTGGAAAGTCTCAGAAGAAAGTTCAAAGGTCCTCAGAAAAGCTGATAAGAACCAAAAAAAGAGAGAAAATATTAGATCCTGGTTCTTCTTTCTTTTTAATATAACTTTCTGCACTGAAATGGCCAAATTAAATTGATTTTATTATCACAAAACATTAGCTATTACAGTTTCAGTCCAAGAGCAAGTGATTTCGTACCTCTGTATCACTCAACTTTACATATTACTTTACACAGGGCTTTTCCAGTTATGATTACTTAATGGAAAACTATTACTAATACTGCAGTCTGCATAACAGGGTGTTAATTGTCAGTGAACTTATGGTTTATAAATAAGACATTTCATGCAATAAATCACTTTTCTGCAGGATTATCTCTTGACAGAATTTTGTGTCAAGTATCAGTATCGGTATAATTTGCTCATTAAAAATAAATGCTTGTAAGAAACACATTATACATTAATTGGTTGTTTTTTTTTTTCCTCACAAAATTATCCCCAAAAATGTTTCCTAGTTGGCATTTAAAAAGTGAGCTGAAGCTCCTTGCTTTCATTCATTTAATCCGATTTCAGAATGGATTTCTGGATACTTGTTTATGTTGATAAAAACGGTAGTAAACAAACAAACAAAAAAAAAGGCGGAATCAGTCATTTGGAAACATGCAGAAGCCCTTTAATTCAATTTCAAGAAGAAACAAATATTTTTTGCAAAAAAAAAAGAAAAAAAAAAGTTGTGTCTAAAAATGTTGTTTTTGAAATGCAAATTGAAAATATGTATAAAAATCATATACTAATTAGAAATATAATTAAAGTTCACAGCACACCGACCTTGACACACATAAGACAGAGATTTCACCTTTGCCTTTTAATTTCGACTCCAGTGTTTGTAAATAGTTTCCAGTCTGACCCATTTCTCAAGCTTTAATTTGATACAACAGTCACACGGCTGCAATGATATCTTGTATATACACACACACACACACACACACACACACACACACAGACTTCTGTCAGCAGTAAGTATAATGTATCACGTACTGTAGTCTCACCTCAGATATTACTCAGCTTTGACCTGACTAAATTTAGCCTCACAGTGACTCCTAGCTGTCAGTAGGTGGTGCTGTCTCTGTGGAAATCACAGTATCGTGTCACACCATCGGTGCAGTTCACAGTCAGACATCACTACACAGGCTGCAGGGTGAAACAGTCAGATTTCTTACTGCTGTTTAGGAAAATTTGAAACCCATTTTGTGAATTTTAAATGAGTAGATGAATATTTAATGTAAAACAGTCCTGGAAGTAAAGAGGCAATGGTAATAGTTGGATAAGTTCTTCCAGGGTTACCAGGAAGTGGCATGAGGTGTATGATGTTGTGATAGGCTAATAACCAGACAAAAGAACTAAAAAAGAGTTCTTTGAGTTACACAATTACTGAAAGTCATTTTATTTACTTATTAAAAAGGTGACAAAATCGGAGTTAAAGCAAAAACAAATGATAAATGCAAGTATTTCAGTCATAAGGTGTTTGTTAGAACCAACTTTGTAACTATTTCTTACCTCCAAAATATCAGAAATGGCCATAAGATGAGAGGCAGAGTGATTCCATTAACCTATCAACTAGTTTGGGAGCGGGTGTTGCTGACTGTTGCTTGACAAGGGCTTCAGCCATCGTTGCGTTTACAAGTCAAGAGGTTATAATACGTCTTCTGAGCAGTGCTACATCTTCAGGGGGGGATTAGATGCTAAAGTGAGTCGCTATCGGAGAGTGACAAGACAGGCCGGGGCTAGCTGGTTAGCATGCTAACTTCAGCAAAAGAAAAGACGTGATGGAGACTAGAGAGAGTTAGAGAGTTAACATTGGTGTTGCTTTCCACTGCTGGAGACGGCTCTTGGTGAGTAAAGGAATGAAGTTTGATGCTGAACTCGCAATGTTTCCTCTAGACTGGTAAGTAAACAGCTGTTAATGCTAATGCTCTTTATGTAGCAGTAGCAAAACTTACAGTTGGCCTTTTTTTCATGGTTGACTTTTTAACATGTCGCAGAGCAGGAAAAGCACAGATGCAAAAGACTTAAAAACAAGAGAGAGAGAGAAAAAAAAGACAACAGCCTACTTTGTGTGGTTTTGTTATGTTTTAAACTTTAACCACAGAATTGCATCTCTTGTGATGCCAAGTCGGTTAGAATACTTTGCTTAAAAGCCTGATTCTCAAAGTGAATGCAGCACAGTACCTGATGAATTGGAAATCTTGACCATGGTTCTCATTATAAAAGTTTAACAAATTGTTCAAACATGGTTATTATTTTTAGGTCTGCATGCACTAATCTACAATAAGATCATTTATGGAACCACATGAAGAAGGGACTTTTGGTGTGCATGTAAACACCAACTTGAATCATGGCAGTAAATATAATCATGCTCCAGACAGGAGACAATCTGCTTGGGTCAGGAGTTAGATTCCACCGTGGCTGTCAGAGCAAAAGCAGCCATGGTGATGTAGAGTGTGGAAAAAGTGGCCACAGATGCCATATTTATTTTGTAATGGTGAACTACAGACAAACCCAAACCCCTTTTACTTCCTCCGTTATTGCCCCAGTCTTCCTGCCCTTTCTTGGTCATTTATTTCTCCTGAAACAGCAGGCGACAGTATAATATGGTCTGTTAGCCTGAGTCATTTCCCTCTGCAGTGTGATATACAGGTCGGGAGAAATACAGGTCACACCGGAGGAAATGGTGCTGACCTAATTGAGTGAGGTACTGCACGCAGCAGTTCAGATTACGTCTAATGATAAGAAGTGTGTGTGTGTGTGTGTGTGTGTGTGTGTGTGTGTGTGTGTGTGTGTGTGTGTGTGTGTGTGTGTTTCTGAATATGCATGTACAAGCATTTGTGAGCTTGACAGAGACTGAGAGAAATAGAGAAGCAAAGAAAGAAAATAAAAAGGAAGAAAATGAAATTTATTTCAAAAAGTTTATGTTGGACTGATTATTGAGTATTTTAGCCTCAGTAAATGCCTCATAACTTTTAAAATCTTGCACCACACCTAATCTATACATTTAATAAAATTGTTTTATTCCTTATGTTTGTTGTGATTTTCATTTGCCCTTAATAATTTTCCTTTTTGGCAATTCCAGTCCCTGCTATTTAACATATTTTATGTATATATATATAGGTCTCTGCATTATCAGTAACGAGCCTGTGTCCTTGTATCCATTTAACAAACATCTAAGGTTTAGAAGTCGTATATCCTGGGATGTGATTCCCCCGGTGGCATTTTTTGGCCCCTTTTACTGCATCCTAATGACAGACAGGCTGATGAGGGAATCAAACATACAGGGACAGAAATAGTAGCAGATAATCAAAGAGATGTAGAAATAATAATGCGTCATCATCCTTCATCCATCAATTTACTAACCTGCCAGGGAGGATTTCCTTTCTTTCATTACTCATTTCCTTCCTTCCTGTCTTCTTACCCAGCTGCACGACAACCTGGTTACCGGCATGGTTTTATATACCAACATATCATCCATGTGTCTTGTAATACGTCTTAGTACTCATACATTCATAATGAATGTCTCTAAAGTTTTCTGCTCAAACTGCTGAGTTGTGTCTGTTTCCTTTTAACCAGTTCATGAAGTCAGCTTTGATTTAAAAAAAAAACAAAAAAAAAAACCTCAAATGCCTAAAAAATATGGTTAAAAACTTAAACATGGCACATTGACCGAGGTTGGAGACACTTTATCTTTATTACCTGGAATGGATTGAAACAACTTCAAAGACACCATCCACCATCTTTGCTGTAAACTCAACATGTGGACCTGGATGAACTGGATTACTGACGTTGGTAACAGTGAATAAGAAATTTATTTTTTTTACATCCGCTGCAGATATGCCCTCAAGCGAGACACTTGATTTGAATTTCTAAAAAACTTGATAGAAACCACAATTCACACCAGAATGCTTAAAACAGTTATTCCTACCTGTTACGACTGCAGCCATATTGTCTTTTAGGTTCTATTTTGTTGTTGTTGTTCTTTTGGTCACGACGTGTGATTGAGTGTGAGTATGCATTTACATATAGATGTTCAAAAGGATGAGGAGGTGATTGGTGGACTATATCGGATCCTGCAGCTGATTGGCTCCTTGTGGGATGATTCGTCGATTATAAGATGGTGCGGCCGTGCTGCGACGGGAACGCTCCTCTCCTTCCTGTCCCAACCAGCCACACTAGTGTTTTGCGTCCCAGTAACTTATGCCATTCTTATTGTTTCATTTGTTCGAGAGAGAGTTGGTCGGGGTGGACTGCCATTTTCCTTTGATCCCAATTTTCTCCTGTATTTGTTAGTAAGGGAGGTTAGTTATAGTGCTTGAGTTTTGTTTATATTTGGATAGGTTACCTTGGTGTGTTATTCTCTGTGTCCACCCTGAGGCTAGAATCTCGCTGTTGTTTGGAAAAACACATTGTAAATAAATGCAACAGTTGGTAACTACCAGCACAGTGTTTTGGTGGCTGCTTTGGACTTGGAGAAGATGGGGTTAATCTTGTATTGTGCCTCGTTCACCCCTCAGACAGGACATAACACATGATCACATGGTGGTGAATTGTTACTGGACACTTCTTAGTTTTGCTCTGGGGTCATGGTTTCACTTCCCTTTTAAAACTGCTTTGCAAGGTCAGTTTTTGATTGGCAAAGGGAAACGCTTCCACAAAAGACAGAGGAAACTAAAACAAGTTTGCAGCTGCAGAGTTGCTTCTGTGCAGCTGCACAATAGCCAAACATAAAAGACTGTGTGCGTGGCTCCCAGGTGTTAATATACTGTATGCTCCTGTGAGAAATGTAAAGGAATTTCAAAAGTGGATCATCTTTTTCACGCTCAGTCAACCTTTACAGGATACCGGCAGTTTTAAAAGAAACATAAATTCAGGCAGTAGGAAGCATCTTTATCCCTCTCAGGAACAGACACATGGGACGAACCACAGCGCTGAGTGCAGGCTCCAACATTTGTCACGGGGATTTTGTGATTCTTCCTTTCCAGTGTGCCTCTGCATGATCTGTCTTCTTTATGTACTATTGTTTGTGTGTACTAGGCTGAAGCTGCTTTTGTGCAGGGATGAGTGAGAGCATGTTGGATATGTTTAGGAAAGCTGGCACCGTGGGGGCAGAGGCATCTGTGTGTTTGTCTGAGCTTTGAATGGATGTGGCTTTCCTTTCCTCTAACTATGTGACTGTCGTGTTGTCTTTGCTACATGGGGCTGGGAGTTCAAAGAGCTCCTTTTCTCTTTGTCTACATTTTATTCAGGAAACATTGACTTGACAAAATATTCACTTTGCATTTGAGAAAGTGGTTTTGAGTAAGTCAATCATGTGGTATTTGTCTGCATATCATGAATGTATTGACTGGTTTTGTTGGCACTGTTTATAGAGAAATGGCTGTTTCAGAGTCTCAATTATAAGACATAAAGCGATCAGTCATTACTTCCTAATCCTTTCCTCTAGCTTGCCTCAGGAAATGCTTTAAGGAAACTGTGTAAACACTAAAAACACATTTCTATCCATATACACATACTTGTTTTTGCAATTCCCATTATATTAGCTAGTAGGTGGTTAATGTGCCGTGTTCCTCATATTTTAGTGATCATCATCACTTCCTCTCGGGGGAAGTGCCTCTGTAACATCAAAGCTCTTTGTGTTTGTTGGTTAGTTCATTCACATAACTTTTTGCTGTAAGCACTGCCATAGAAATCACAGCAGTGTGAGTCATCTCTAAGTTTCACTCTTCATCTACGTAGCAAGAGATTGTTTGGTGGTTTTCCACTGTAAACTCTAACGGCCCCTTTCACTGTGCGATCACAGCAGGTTCATTACATTGTTGATATTAGAGAAATCTGTCTGGTCTAGTCTGGTTATAAACTTGTCATTTTGTCCTAAATTCCTAACACTCTCAGAATTGGTTGACAAAGCTCTAAACTGGCACTGATAGTTGCTCTCAAAGTGTGGACCATTGTTTTGGATTGGCAGTCAAAGATTTCACATTGTTAGCATCACACTGGTTCCATCAACAAAAAGCCGGTGGGATTGTGACGTTGGGTTTTGGATTACTGCAGAAAATTTGCTCTGTGACAAACAAAAGTTTATGATACAGGATAATCTTCACAAATGAAGATCACTTTTATGATTTTGAAGCCTCAATACAATCGCCAGCTTGTGTGTGAGCTTGTATGAACCACTAGACTGCAGGACGAGGGAGCCAGAAGAGCTAAAATGCCAACTAATGTCTGGGTTTCAGGCCTCACTCCTGCAGCACTCTTTAGTCAAGGGGGAAACCTCATTCTGACTTCATTGCCTTCATCATTGAAAACCCCCACCGCTGTCTTCACCGACTGTTAACAATCTAGAAAGGCATTGTAGTATGATGTCACCATTTTCGCGGAGACCAGAGGGGTGACAGGCAGCCAGCCGGTGAGCCCGAGACTGTTCCTCATTAGTTCTGCTTGGCCTGGAGTTCCACACAACAGCAGAGTGAATCAAGGCACTGAGACATGACAGTCACGCTTGCTGCAGACTAATAAATCCTGTCATGAAATGCCTCATCAGTTACTGCTTGTCTGTCAAACACATGCAAGTGCGAGACGAAGATGAAAAAGTTGTTGGGTTCAAAACAAGAGCCAGGCTGTTGGAATTTGCAGTTTAAGCTGTGACGAGCCGCTTTGTTTTTATCTACCTATCTTTTTGCATTTCAGCTGCATTACAACTTCTGCCAGTTTGTCTTTTTTAACATCAGAAATGCCTCTTTTTTTTTTTTAGATACTAAATGCCAAAAGCTTTGAAAATGGGAGATATTAACATTTAACAGACCTGCGAAGGAGTAAACCACCTTCCCTTCCCATTCTCAGAGCCAGCGTGTCTATTAGCCTGCAGTAACAGAGGGTGCTGAGAAATCCCACTATTTTTTCTGATGTTTTCTTTCCTCGTCATCCTCTAGGAACTTGAAAAACAAGCAGTCTCCCTCCGAATTTATGACTGGACTAAAACAGTCTGTATTTTTAAACTCACTGGACAATGAGAAAATTGGGTTAACCAAAGTAAATAGTTGCACAGACCAGTTGATTGCTTCTTTTGAAGCAGTTTCTCAACAGAAGACTTCAGGACACTTCACTGTGTTTTACGAGAAACCAAACAGATGGAAGCCCCGTTGGGGTTGGAGGCCAGTAGGCAGTGTCCCAATGGGCCCGTGACCTTAGTAGTACTGTATACTTACACAGGGGATCACAGAGGACGATGTCAGTCTTCAAACATGGTCTGACCATTCAACGTTGGACATTCAATACAAGGGCATATAGCTCGGTGCCTTACTGTAATCCCTACTTCTTGTGATTTCCGCTCGCCGAAGTCTCTCATTATGTTCCTTTCTGCCCCCAAGGCCAGTGTAGCTATGCATTACTGCAACCGCACAGGATATGTTGGTTGTAGACTGTGTTTACTATGCATTGTGTGTCTATGGACTGACATGATGGCATGCATGGGACGGAACAAGCGCGGACACACTCAAGGGTTTCATCTTTAACAATAGGTTTTGTTTGGCTGTTTTACTGGTGACATCAAATGTTTCTTTTTAAGGGAGCTAATGCAGGCAACTAGGTCCAATTTACCCCTCACCTCAGAGTCTATCTGCCTTTCTTTCCCCACACGAAGATAGAATTTCTCCTTTTTAATCCATTTTTTTTCCTCCTTTCACCTCCTTCAACTTCCTTTTCAACAATCCCACCCGCTTAAATAATTCGAATTTTCTTTACCTTACTTATTATATTTTATTGCTATTGGACCACTTCCCTCTAAACCAAGTTCTCCACTGACCTGTGAGTTTTTTTTTTATCAACTTCATGTGTTTTCTTTGTGGGTGAGACCGTTTTATAAAAACCTCTGGGGTTCGTTTTGTCTTACGCTGTGAGCGTCCTCTCTCTTTTCCTTTCAGAAAATAATTTGGAGGTTCCAAGTAAACTAAACCTAACATTTAGATCGCCCCCTCTCTCATTACAGCGCCTCCACCGCCACGAGAGTAGCTGACACCCATCCAGGCTCATGGATGCACCCCTCTCACATCGACTCTTTATGTCAATATGGAGGTGGGAGATCTGAGTTTAAGTCTGATGACGAACAGTCAGTGCACATATGTGGAGGCTTGAGGATCACAGTTTTGTGGGATCTTTTTCTGTTGAGTGAAAATATGATTTAATCTATCAGATCAGTCACAATACAGGACCATCTCTCTTTTATCGAGTTAACAGGGCATAGCACAAGCAGGCTCCCGGTGATATGACTATATTATACTATATTACCATTGCTGTGCTCCAGGCTGAAATATCGTCATCCGAAGCATGACTGAAAAACAACTCTCTGGCAGCATACTGCTTACATCCACTTTTATATTTATTTCACTTATTGATACAAACTGCACGGCTGAAATGTACAAAAGGAACAATAGCAGAAATGCTGGAATGTCAACGGACGCAGAGGTCAGTGGTGGGCAGAGAGAAAGAGAGAGAGAGACAGAGAGAGAGGGAGGGGAATAGGGAGAGAGCAAAGAGGCACCATTCACACACATGGTTCTAGTTAGCAGACGTCCATTAAGGACAGTGTGGTCTGGAAGAAACTTTACATTTCACAGTTTAAGGGGCATTTTTTAAGACGCTTCTACCCACCACTGAAAGGTCACTTTCAGTCATTTTATATAGGGAATATACACACTGTGCAACTGACATGAACACAAGAGAACAACAGTGGAAAATTGGAATGGTAACAAATGCAGAGGTCAGCGGTGGTTTACATTGTAATGTAATATATAGTGAAGGGAACAAAAAATGTACATACGAGTACATAACTATAAGCTTGCTGTAGGATTGTGTTATAAATTTGCAGTGATAGCCAGAAAGTTCTGCATTTGTCTGGCTTTTTCAAGCAAGAGGCATCCATATTGGAAGCCAGCGTTTGTGCTACGACTGCTGATTGAGGCTAAAATCATACGACTTGATCTTCCCAACATATTCAAACAAACACAAAAAGACATCCAATGAATTTAATGCGTATATCAGCTGTTAACTAGCTAACTACAGTTGCTACATAGTCTCTCAGAAGGTGGTTAACGCAACTCTAAAGCTAATACAACATATACGTTGTTACAGAGGAGTCAGGAGTCTGATCGTTTTACTCGAAGTGACTGCATACTCTCTCAAACTACCGGTTGCCAGATTATTAGCTAGTTTAGCTAAAAAAACCACCACACGACGATGCAGTTCAGAGGCACATTAGGCATGCCGAAGAAAGTGCGACTTCTTCTCTAGTTGGGCTCCATCTGCACGGATAAACTCCACATAAGATAGCGGAGGTCTTTGGGGGAAGGGAGGGATCCGGTGCCTTTGTGTCTGGGTTTCAGGTTCACTGTTTGAAAAACTCTCCTTTGCTTTTTTTCCATGCCTGAATCCAGGGGATCATTAAATGGAAAAAGAGTCCTAAGCACTTTCACGCTCAGATTCATGGAAAGTGAGAAAGCAAGGAGACCATAGCGAAGGTACAGCATGTGGGAGTACAGCTGATGTGGCCTCTGGCTCTTATCTCAGTGAATCACCTTGTGATTTGAAGTAAACCGACTTAGATTAATGTGAAATAGTTCAAGCATGGGTCTAAGTTCGTCCCTGTTTGTGGATCAGGTGTCACAATTGTTTGCAGGTTTTTGGCTTTACAGTATGTGCCTTTGTGTGTTCGCCTGCAAGGGTGTTTATCTTACATGTAACTCCACCCTTGCATGTGCAGCATCTATATATATGTGTGTGTGTCGCTAACAGCCTGTTAAGTTGATGTTGGCACCAGATGAAAGGGGCTCGCATGGTCTCACATACTTGCCCGTGGGGGGGGTGGGTTAGGGTCGGGGGGCTAATCACTACTTTAATATCAACTCTGTGGAGTTGTGGTCATTATAAACTGCAGCCTGACACACAAAACCAGACTGAACACAGATGTTGTGAGGCAGATAATGCTGGGAACACACTAGAAGAAAATCACAATTGAAAATGCATTGGTTCACATTCATAACAACGGATGTCTCTAATTTATTTAGTCTCTTGTTCATAAATCTGCTGGCTCTCAGATGGGGTTTCCCACAATTCATTGTGAAAGTGAGAGTCAAAAGAAATGTGAGAGGGGCTCCCACAGGATCCAGTCTAATGGCGTATCAGTATATGAAGCGCAAGAAACAAAATTACCTTTGGTTGCTTACACAAAGCCTTTGTGTATTTCAACTTAATATTAAATGCCAGCATCTAGAATAATGTTCAATTATGAATTTAAAGTAGTAGTTTGACATTTTGGGTATTAGATGAGAAGATCTATACCTCTCTCGCCTCTGTGTGTTACGTATGAAGCTAAAGCTCGGAGGCAATTAGCTTAACTTAGGAAAATCCCCGAGACTGCAGGCAGGGGAAAACAGCTAGCCTGGTTCAAAAATACAACTACTAACGCCTCTAAACATACAAAAAATTTAAAAAACAACAATTTGGGGTTTTGCAGGAAGTTATGCAAGTACCTTTCTTTCGTGGTAAACAACAACCAGGAGCCTCTTGTCAAGAAACTAAACAGCCCTAGCTGTGTAGAGTGCTAGCTAGCTACAGGCAGGCCAGCTGTTTCCACCATGTTTACGCTCGTTATGCTAGGCTAACCACCTCCTGGTTCCAGCTCTGTACGTAATGCACAGACGCGAGAGTGGTAACAGCACCCTCATATCACCTCACCCCAGAGTAAACTTGACATTCACTGTCTGTTAAACCCATACGCCACCGGACATCAAACTGTTGACGTCACGTTGCAAAAATCGACCGAAGCATGTTTTGATATGATCAGGGAGCCTCAAGATTCGGCCGCGAATTCAAAATATATAATCTCCCTTTAGATTGTGATGATGGGCAAAATCTGCGCCATAGTCTTTTCTATTGTGTCCCCAGTTAGAGCTACACAGGATTCAAACATGTGCAAGAGAAGAATACCACAAGTATACAAAACATTTCCCTTTTGCATCTTGGTCTCACATAGAAAGAAGTTATATCAAAGTTCATATAAAATCATATGTACAAATTTGTCATAATTCTGAGGCGTTACACATTTTGCCCTTCACAAACCATTTGAATACAGAACACAGACCATAAATAGACAATACTTATTTCTACATAAGGCACAGTTACTAGTGGTGTTTGTGTCTTCCTCTCATAGCTGCTGCTCCCCGAACAGTATCTGAGCGTACACGGTGCCGCTACGCGACGCCTTGGCTTCTGGAATCGGCTTCACCAGATCCAACTCCGCGTACGTCAGATTCTCCTCCACTATCTTCGGCTGGAGATGTGGAGATGGGGGAGAGGGAAGGAACAGTAGAATAATGATGCAGAGGGAAGTGGCGAGGGCAGGGAAGTGGTGTTAGTGGTGAGAAAAAGGACAAGGAAAGGCTGGGAAAGTTTTTTTTATGCAGAACTACATCAAGCTAATTAAAGGGCTGAAGATGCTGTAGATTGACATTTGCAGTGTCAGATGTGAATACTGACAAGAAATCTTCTGAACATCTAAACTCTCCTTGGTTTTCCTCTGGTTTACAGCTTTGGTTTGGTAAATGTGAGCAGGCTGCGTGCAGACGTTACCTTACTGGTTTTCTGGGTTCATGTTGCCAACATACAATGACGTCTTACAGCCTTTTGTACCATTAAGATGCCAAGTCACCACCAGAGCCACTTCATTCCAGCGACAATTATAAAATGAAACCTGGGTTTTTGTGGCACATTTTATTTTCTGGTATTCCCTGCCTCATGTTGGATGCTCTCCATTATACTTGGGACAATAGCAATGGCAGGCTCACCACAACTGCCTTACTAGGTACAGTATTATAGTTATAAACAAAAAGTACCAATGCGTATGTACTGCTAGAGAGGCTTTCTCCAATGTGGAATAAACTTCATGTACATGTCAGAATGAGTACTGGGTAGATTCCTGATTACTTGACGGCAATAAAAGAATGACAATGAAAGCAAGCATCTGATAATTAGGTATGGATGGTGCTTACCAACACTACTTTCCTTGGCTGTGGTTTTAAAAGTTTGGGTTTCCTTGTTTTGTCTCCGATGGGAGCTGCAGGGAACAAAACAAAAGTGAGTGGTTTTGCTGAGATCGAAATTTTTACACGGGTGTCATACTGATAAAATAAACAAGATTTAACATGTTGTTTGGTGAGCTTTTAATGCTAATGAATGCTAATGTTGCTCAGTGTCTGCTGGGAAAAAAAATAAAATTAATACTGCTTTAAAAATTAACATCAGCTGCACAAAACAATTAGCCGATCAGTCCTTAATTGTTTCAAACCCCGCCCCCCAAACAGCAGTATTTCCTTGTCAGCGCAGTTCCCCACTTGAATTTTAAAACATCAACTTTATTAAGAAATTTAGGCATTAACTGTTTGTCAAACACAACATGACGACTTTTAATACAGTAATTAACTCACTATAACTTTAAAAAAAAAGAAAGAAAAGGTTTTTGCTTTCAGTGATACATTTTATTCCACATGCTAATTATGAAGGAGACTTGGTGTGACTGAGCTGTGGTTTGTTACGGGTGAGGAAGTTTTCCCCAGCTAACGTCAGGAAACAGTCCCATAACTCAAAGAGGTTTATACGTGGAAGGATGTCCACATGGATTCATGTTTGGAAAGCGATGCGGGACAAAATGAACATCTATCTCTGCCTTTCGGAGTGAACTTTTCCAACACGTCTCAGATCACAGAAAGCCTTACCTTTGGCTGGTATCTCTGGCGGTGTCTCCTCTTGGTATTCTCTGCTCCTTTTCTTCCTGTACCTCCTCTCCTTCTGAGGCAGAGCAGGAGACACACTGACCAGACTGGTAACTGTCTCTCCTGAGCTACAGTGAAAACACATTACAAGAAGTTCAGTGCAGTTAAAAACATGTGGTTCTTTGTTAGTTGTTTTTTTTATATTTTTTAAAAGGAATTTTTATTTAAACGTGAAGCGGTGTCGTCTTAAAATCCTACCTGTTCTGTGGGCTTTTAACCAGGTGGTAATTATCTGCAAAGATGTAACACACACAGAAACATTACAGCTGGTGCAGAGACTTATTGTATTTTCAGCGTGGAATGATCTTGACGTTTGCTGCTGACCTTTTAACCTCTGCTTCCTCTGTACGTACTGGCAGGTTACCGTCACCGTGAACATGCACATGCACAGAAGGCCCACCGAGCAGATCAACACCGCACACAGGTATACGTCTGAAACACACGCACATATACAAACACACACACACATTAGTCCACCAAGTACAGCAGCCTCGTGCCATTGCTTCACTGCACACAAACATCTGAAGGGGGAAAAAAAAGGAGTACATGATTTGCTGAGCTATTTAAGGCACTGTAGTATATCCTTTGGGTTGAGTTATTTTTGCCTGCCAAGGACGACACAGTGCCAGTCCACCCCACACACACACACACACACACACACTAAAACTAACACTGACACATTCAGACACTCTAAAAATATGACAACTTACCTTCAAACAAGCTCCACAGGCTGTCTTTGGCCTTGGTGGCTGGTAGGACATGTACTACACGGAGAAGGAAAGACAGAAGAGAAACATGTAAAGTCCGTAGTCATCACTGTGGCTTCTCTGCCGCCTGATTACACACTGGCTAAAGTTTTAAATAAAGCTAATTGTAGGAAGACAACGAGCCGAGGTGGGCCTCCTCCCTGCCTGCTCCTGTCTCTGATTCACTGTCCAGAGGACTCAACCTTAACCTTTACTGGATGGAAAGGATAAATAGCTCATCAACTCAGACACTAGTGCAAACAGTTGGTTTACAGTTATGCGTAACGGTAAAGTTTAACCTCACATTCACTCGTGCTCTGAGCCAGACCGTCTTTTTCACCTTCATAACAAACTTTTGTGGTTAAACTGGGCAACCTGTGCACATTTTGGCTTTGTCCACACATTGGCGGAGAATGTCTCCCTTTTTTTCTTAACATTAAAATGTTCCCAGGAATACTTGGATCGTCCCTTTGATTTAGAGGCATTCAAAAATCTGGAATTCAAACTCAGCTCGGTGTTTCCCTTTTTGACATGTCGGTAAATAAAAGAATTTAGACTGACGCTGAAACTTTGGTGTCACAGCAGCTTCACTAAATGTGAGATGTTAGCACCTAACACCTCAGTTGGTAGTGGAGGGTTAAAGACCTTTAAATGCAGCCTGTGTCTGTAATGAGAATCCCAGCTATCTGCTGCCTGTGTCCGAAATGACTGAGAGTGTGTTTCCCATACTGAACGTGAAAAATTGCCGCACACACACTCACTCACTTCTCCGCCCCATCTGACCACTGTCGTCTTAACACCGTCGTTCTCTTGCTGAGCTGGTGGTAGGAAGCTCGTGAAGTGACACCCACTAGGGCATCTTGAAATACCCCAAACCACCAGCGGCTGACGACGAACAGGCTCGCCACCACGCTGGCTGGAGACTTTCCCACAGGCAGACTGGCTGCGCTGCGTGGTGACTGACTGACTGACTGACAGACAAACCAGCAAGCAATGTCTCAAATAATACACTCCCTCTCCACACACACACACACACACAAGACCATATATAAATAAAAGAGGTTGGATTTAAAGGCTGGGCCATTAAGCTGTGTGAAACAGCATAAGTATGAATTAAAAACTGTCAAACCTCACATAAAGCAGTGGGATGTTTATAGCAAAGCCTGCAGTTCTGAGAAAGCTAAGCTTAAATCCTAGAAAAGAGTCTCTGCAAAATGCTGCATCGCACTTATACCTCCACTTTCAAACTCCTCATTTTGTTATCGGATAACATTTATTAAAACTAAATTTCACTCTGCAAGGCCAGAGAAAACAGAGCACCCTTTAAGCTTTAGAAAACGAAATGCACTGAGCAGCAGTGTTAGCGTTCTGCCTGAAGCCTATTCATTTGCTTTCACTCAACTTATCAACCCAACTTGGTTTAAATGTTCACAGAAATCAGCTCCTTCACTGCTGTTTGCTCTCAGTTAGCAGGTTTCTTTTTTTTTTTTGAGACAATAAAAACAAGTTGATTGACATGTTTCTGCAGGTTAAAAGGTGTTTGTGCCTTTGGACTTAGTCCCATATGTGAAACCACTAACCCTTCGCTGTCGCTGACCATATGTGACCTACATTCTGCTGTCTGGAAACACTGCCCTCAAACACTGTCAAAGGGAAGATAGGCTTGCAGGTTTAGTAGTTTATATTGAACATGCATTTTATCGGCTTAAATCATGATGGCAAAATGTCAGAGCCACTTGTTTGTTAGACTCTTGTTAGAATAGAAAAACAATGATGTGGAAAAAAGACGATTAAGATGTCAAAACAGACAGTGATGTTTCAGCTTTCTTTTGTCTGGCGAGTCGTTTTTTTATTAGCAAGCAATAGCTTTGTCAAATAGCTTGGCTAGCTGTTGACAGGAGTTGACAGCAAATGTAAGTCAGCACTGAAGAAAAATGTCTCTGTGTTTGATATTAGGCTACATATCATGGCTTTTTTTTTTTTCCATGCAAAAAATAAGTATCTCAGATTTGTGTGCACTGTTGATTTAGCTAACCAGCCTGGCAAATTTGGACATTTGCATGGTACTTTCCTGGAGTTTAATATAAACTAACTACAAAAACTTGTTTCTAAAGACGATTAGTTTGTAAATAGTATAGAGGGCAAAGTCAGCTAACAGTTGAAGTGCTTCATGTGTCAGCATCCAGCAGGTGTCTTTAATGAACTCCTAATTGTTGTGTCATTTAGCGAAGCTTGTGTGAACAGCATCTACATAACATTTGTTGTAATTTTCTTGGTCATGAAAATGCTAAAACCATCGATGACAATATAACAGACAAGACTGTGGCAAATAAATCCAAACACTATAGTCTCAGCCAGGCTATCATTTAAAACAGACTTTCTCCAGTTGTTTCAAATGGCAGATGATTTGATTTAAAAGCTCTACACTTCCGTCACAGTAGATTATTCACAGAGTAAATCTTGATAAGCATCTGTGACGTTTATGTGGGGTTTTCTGTGCAGCTCTGACAGTGAGACAGCTGTACATGTTGGAATAATCAGAAATTGGACACTTTTGTGCCATAAAACTGCCTTTTATCCACATCTACAAAATGTCTGTCTTTTTATAGCAACTTTTGAATGGCGGAAGGCTGCATCGGACACAGTGGAAACATTCAACAAACTACTTTTTATTCATCAGAGCCACAGCTTTGCATTCAGTTGCTGACTGTACTTCAGATTTGTGGCTCTTTTTGTGCCCCAACAAACCCAACACTGTAAACATCAATATAAAGACATGGACTGAATAATGATCCTCTTTGTCTTCATTATCCACTGAGTCACTCAATGCTCTAATTTACTGTATTATAAGTGACTGGAGATGAATGTAAGTACACAGCAGTGTTGTGTGACAAAGCATCTAATAATCCACCCTTTAACTTCCTCTTGTATCTTTTCTTCTACAAATTAGCATTTTTCCGTACACTTGTACACTGTGTGTCTATTAAGGACAAAAACATAGGACGATATCGTTGGTTTCTTATTCATATATAAACTTATTTATTCCACAGTTCCTTACAGAAAAACCTTGCAAGAAACATGCGTGACCTCTGAATTGTGATATTTTCTGATTTAAATTTTTACCCAGAGGTCCACGTTCTTACTATACTTAAACCCACGCTACATCCGTGCGGTGTGTACCTAACTCGCCCACATGTGTTATAGAAATACCTAAAAGTTGGGTTTGTTTATGCCAAGAGGAGGCTGTATCCACACTGTGCTCTGCCCTTCAGTTTTTCTACCGAACCCTCTGACCTCTCTGGATTTGTTTATTATAGCAGTAGTAAGTAGAGTAATAGCAGTTTTGTGTGTGCGATAGATTGTGGAAACACCTGGTCACCTAATGTTATCCGTCTACAAGAATTCCATCAGTTTAACGTCACACACACACACACACACACACACACACACACACACACACACACACACACACACACACACACACACACACACACACACACACATACACATACACACACGCAAACACACGTCTGTGCACATGCAGCCTCAGTCATCTGCTGTCTCTCATCTGAAGTGGGGACCAGGAGCAATGGTCCCACAGGGGTTTTAACCCCTCAGAAGTGTAGCTGATGTTTATCATAGCTGTCAAGCGTTGGTGTGGAAAAAATACCCCGACCTGCTGGTCCAAAAATAAACCAGTGTTCCTGTGTTGTTAGAGCTTTGGCCTGAACATTACCATCACCCAACCTAGATCCTGGACAGTGTTGGTGTTATTAATGTTACTCTTAATTGAAATGGTGACAAAACGAAATATAGTCAGATACGGATACATCAGTTTAAAGGGGCACTCCATGGATTTTACACACCCAGAACAATTTACTCATTAAAGGATTAGCTTTTAAAAGTCTGCAAATAATAATCCTGGTGACGCCTTCAGGGTTATTTTATCTCGGCTTGGGCTAGGAGACAGAAGTTTATGACAACTGCGGACTTTAAATTTGAAAGATGTGGGCAGTTGCTAGGCAGGAAAGGTCTGACAAAAGATGCTACTGAGTTACATTGTGGGAAATGTAGGATCCAACATTTTTGACTTGACTCACAGGAGGAAGTAGTATCAGTCAGGGTATCTCGTCCTCTGCTGCATTGATTATGACCATTTGTTTTTCTATTGCAAGTGCTCCAACTTTATGGAAGTACAATACTAAATAGCTAGACCACACTTTGAACTAATTTTCACATTGATTTGGCCTCCGGCTAACCAAAGAATAAATACTTCCTGCTCCAAGATTGCAACATTCACCAAAGTTTAGAGAAACCAGGATCCTGTTCAGGCAATCATAGCTCATGAAATGGTTCAGGTAACAAAAATGAAGAGAAAAATTGAGGAAAATTCAAAATGAACTGAATAAGCTTTTAACCAGATCTTTGCATCATTAATTTCTATCTTTTTATCACAATTGCAGTATTCATCCAAAAGTGTCGCAGTAGGCTTTTTTTTATTATTATCACTGAAACCATAATGGGCCGGCACTTCCTTGGACGAAAATAGCTCTCCACATCCTTGACCACGAAACGTCAGGAGCCAGACACGAGCCGGCGGCCCACTCCACTGTCACTGCAGACAAACATTCAGACTTTACCTTCCTCAGCACAACTATCTGTTGTTGAAGTTCTGCTGAACCTCTCTGGACTCTCTGTCTGTTCTACTTTTGGGAGGGAAACTCCTCGTCGTGGCCAATGTCAACAGCTCTCAGTGGGGACTGTGTGTCTGCCGGAGCCCAGACTTGGCCGTGGACACCCCGAAAGTCACAGCCTGTAGAAAACGCTTCCATGGAAAATGTGGTGAGCAACGTCTACTGTTGTTCAAAGTGGGGAGGAACACTAACAGTAATATGGCAATAAATGTAATGAATAATTGTCTTCACATTCTGATTCTGTTATTCGCTCAAGATGAAAAGCTGCAATTTGCTACAGACACAGGGAATAGCAGCTGATATTCACTAAACCCCTCAACCAAACAATGAGGTCGAGTCATATCTTAACAGTAACGAGGCACGGTAGGTCTGCCAGGCTTTGGACCTCTCCTAGATACTAGGAATTTTAAGCACATGCACAGTGGTATTATTTTTCTAGCCTCTCCAAAACTAAAAACGCACCTGTTCATTCCATTTCTTACGAGCACCTGTTAAATCCATTTCCATCAAAGCTACGAATGCATGTGTAGCTAACTAGTTAAACCCAAAAGTAACCAAGCTTTATTTCCAAAGGCATCATCCAGGGGCTATTTGTTCGTTTTCTCTGCCGCAGAACATGGTTTCTTGCCAGGAGTTGGTTTTGGTGATTGTCGCTTGATAAGAGCTTCGGCCATTGTTGTTTTTATAATACAAGAGGTTATAATACGTCCTCTGAGCAGCGCTACTTCTTCAGGGCAGACTGGAGGCTACAGCGACTCGCTATTGGAAAGTGACGTGATTGGCCAGGGGTAGCTGGTTCAGTAGAAGAAAAGACGTGATAGAGAGTTAACATTGTTAAGTTGGCGTCTTGGCGAGTAGAGGAATGAAGTTTAAAGCTGAACTTGCAACGTTTCTTCTAGACTGGGAAGTAAGTAGCTATTAATGCTAATGTTAGCTATGTAGCAATCGCAAAACTTACAAATAGCTACTTTAACTAACTACATTAGTTTCTGGGGTTACATGCTAAATTTAAAAGAGAAATCCCTGTTCACAACTAGCACATCCACTGCGGAGTATTTCCTCACTGTGTGGACGTTGGTCCTGAATGCTAATAGCTAACGTTATTGGCTCTGTCTGGCTTTCTATTTGATTTGGGGACATTTACACTCTAGCATCCCCTGGCAGTGTTGCCCAAGATAGCGTTACGTTTTCCAAACTGTGGTCCCCATCCTAAAAGCCTTTACTGCTTCTAACATTGAAAGTGAAAACATGCATAAGCCAAGAAGCTAAACATGGTTATTAGGAAATATGCAGCTGATTGAATCTGCTAGTGGCAGTTAAGCCTGTTTATCTGTACCTCTGTCTGAAATCAGGGAGCCATTGTTTCAAACATTTAGCATTTCAAATGGTAAGTGTGCTACTGTTATCTCTATAAACTGCTTGTGTTTCATGCAAGGCCGGGCTTGACAGGTGCACTGAGGGGGGCGGGGCTAAAACAATGGTCTTAAAATCTGCTCTATAACCTTGATCAGTGAATAAGGAGCTAGGAGGAAAAAATGACAAAGCTTTTAAAGTTTGCTTCTGGTTTTTATGAAAGTGAAGGGATTTCTGTGCAGGATCTGGTACCAGTGAATGTGTCATCCGTTCCGTTGAGTGAACGTCTCTAATGCCCGCGGCGGCGCTGAAACCTCACTCTCTCTCTGCTCTCTCTCCAAGATCATCCTCTCAGTCTAAGCCGCAACTTATTGCAATGGAGTATCCTTTTATCTTCAGGCTTGTTCCTAACCAATGACATTTCCCCTCCAAAATCAAAAGCAGGACAGTGCTTTTGCTCAGTGAACCCACTTCACAAACTCTTCTGACAGATGAATTACGTCATCCAGTTGTGGTCAGAAAAACTGCTACTACTGGAGACACAGAACTGCTCCACTTTTTTCTTGTAGCAGTGTACTGTTGCACATTTTATTTTATTTTTTTAACTTTGTTTAAACAGTGATATATTTGGGGGTAATTAACAGAATTGCTGACAAATATGCGGTTGCACGAACGATTGTTAAGCCTTAAGCCTTCAGGTTAAGTTCAGTAATTTTATGAGACCTCACTGAATGACAGAAATCTAACGGGGCATCTACAATCTTTTTCAAACATCCAGCAAAAAACCTCAAACAGTTTCATGTGTCCACAGCTGGGAGCTGCTCAGTAACAGTCACAGTTTTCTGCTGCTGGAACATCCCTGTAGACCAACCTGGCATCTGCTTAAAACTATCTGTGGTCTACTATTATCAAAACTGCATTTGTCACTCCTTCTGTTGTGGTTGCAGAAATAGTTAAGTCTCCGCCCTGCACTATTATAAGTGGTGATGTCATTCTGTGAGAAAGTAGTCTACAGCTACTAGTTTCTTCTACCAAGTATTAATGGTAGCAGCCTAATGCAGGCGTTCCCAGTCTTTTTGGGCTCAAGACTCCAGGTTGAGTTCTGACAATTCGCAATTTTTGTTATTTAAAACAAAGGCATTTCTTTGTTGTTGGATACTTTTCAAGTTACAAACAAGAATGAAGAGTTTTTATGCTGCAATCACTGCTACACTGTTTAAGCTCAATAGGCCGTCACTGATTTATCATTTAAACTCACCATGTCTAGTTGTAGTTGAACGTTTGAAAGAGTGTAATTTCTACTTGCGATGCCTCCTGCACGTTTATCATTTCTGCTTAAATTTCTTACTCAAAAGTCTCTTTAAACAGTTATGTTACTGTCCAGCCTCCACAGTCCAGATGAGAGACCATGTTAGTTGATAAAACGTTCATCCGAGTCACCTTCAGCTATCACCCCGTGTTCACAGCACTTGCAGATGCTTTAAAGAGTTTTTTCCCCTGAGTTTTGCCTGTCAGGCTAAATACAGGCTGCTCTACCTTAGAGGTTCCTTGTGGAGTTTTTGAACTGTAGTACCACTATGGAACTGGTCTTCTATGTGTGGGTCCCTAATTTGTTAATTTTATGCATGTGGAGATCCATGAACTTGGGTGACGTGATACATACTCCAAGAAGCAAAGTAGAGCGTTCGGGCACAACTTCACTTACTTCCAAGGTGCATGGAGAAAGGGAAAAGTTTAAAGAGGTCAAAACTCCAGCAACACTTGAAGTACACAGAACAACTTTAGACCGACGTGTTTTGGCGTGTGACCCTCGAGGTGGCTGAGGATGACCCTGATGAAGGTCTAACAATAAATTTGTTGTGTTTACTGTGTTGCCATGGTGTGACTGTGTATGTTAACTTCATTTATTTGGGTAAAAAAATGTAATGTATATTTTTATTCACAATACTCCTTGATGCTAGCAAGAAACATGAAGTTAAAGATAAGAGAGTTGAACACAAAGCTCTTTGTTGTTGTTTGTTGTTTTTAAAAATCAATTTATATTTTTTTAGCAACTTTCTTCCTACTTCTTCTGCATCAGACGACCCTGCGTACAAAACAGGACCCAACTGATGATTAATGACTAGCTAACTAGGTAACTAAATAATTAAGAATAATTGGTAAATAATGTTAATTGATAACAGAATCAAGAACTAGAATTTATGTAAATTTAATTAATTATGTAAATTAGATATTAAAGTATCTAATGATTAGGTCCAAGATATCTGTAAATCTAAATGACACATAACTAATTACTACATCGTGTACTGTACATACTGTACATGCATTACTGAGTATTGTGGTGCATTATATCATGTTATCTGCCATTTTTGCCTGATTAGCCTAGTGGTGAATCATGTTTTCACCAGAGTTTGGCTTCAGTAGAAACACTGTTGAACTGCTGAGCAGGAGCGGTTGGTTTGTGCACAATGGAGCCCATGGTGGAACTTAACAAATGTGAAGCAGTGTGATGCTCAGAGACGGGTGTGACGGGCAAAGCAGAATGATAAATCCAGCCCTCACCTCTGAGCTCAGTAGCGGCGGTGCAGTTGGATGAGGCCTTCCAGCGGTCCTGGTGCTTTTTAAACTCCTGCACCCGGCACATGTAGAGCCCCCGGTCCCCCTCCCCCACGTTCAAGATCATCAGGTCAAAGATCTTCCCCTGCTTCACCACCGTCAGCTTCAGTTTGGGCCACGGGAAGCTCTTGGTGTAGTTGCCATAGAAACGGGCCTTCCTCATGTTGACGCGAGCGATTAGGAGTTCGTCCTCCTGGCGGTCCGTGCCCGCCGGTAGGAAGGTCCATTTCACGACCGGTAATGCGGCATTTCGGCGTCGCTGGGACACAACGCAGGAGAGGGTGATGTTTTGACCCTCCTGGGCCACTGTGAAGGGCGATGGGGTGATGGTGACGTTGATGGCCGAACACAAATCTGGAGAAGCAAGTTTTACACAAGTTATTTTAGAAAGCGTACCTGCCCACGCCATGCAGTATCAAGACTTTTGGATTCGCTTGACTGATGTCCATTAACCACAAACATGAGGCCAACAGAAGCTGAAAAACCATGTTGGTTACATCAAGTTGGACAGAGTTGTGACACATCCCTTAACACATTCAGCTGTTTTCCCTGTCTTACAATTGGTTGGTCCATGGTACATATGTTTTAGCGACACTGTAAACAATTTCATGCAAAATTAAGTACTGAAAGTAGGGCAAAATATTTTATATACATCTATATCTATATCTATCTATATTTACTTTCCAGCCATATTCTTTCAGTAGTGAAAGTCAGTCAGTTGTTGATGTGACACAGTCTAATCATTACTGCTTTTGAAATATGGATTTTACATTAATTTATTGGGAGTGCAATGCTAAGGATTGAAGAGAACACCTTGTATTCACCAAGGTTAACATTGAAACCAAAAAAAAAAAAAAAATCAACCTTTAACCTTGAACTGAATGTACTGAGCAGAGCGACTGGGCTGTGTCTTTATTCCACTGACACTCACCAAATTTGTTATTTGTCAACCAAAACAGGAGGAAGAATTAAAAACGTTCGTCTTGTCATGAGATTCAAACTCAGATTCAGACTCAAACGTAGTCATCGAGGTTAGACCCATTTTCAAAAGTTTCTGTATGGTGTCAAATCTGTGTGAAATGTGAGGTAAAGTTTTATCTAAAAGTTTGAAAGTAGATTTGTGTTGACACACGGGATGGAAGCCGTTTTCATTCCACTTCCAATTGCCCCCTGAAAATCACAGCACAGCAGCCTAATGGTTTAAAGATGGTATGCATTACCAAGAGAAGCAGCTAATGCCTCACTGACGGACTTGAACTCTTCTCTTCATCACCACAACAGCGTGAAAGAACAAAAATCTGTGTTACAAATGGTACTGAGGGTTTGTTCCGCAAGTGGAAGCTGTAGGTCATATCTGAAATCCATACAGCCCAGGACTCGCAGTCAGTGTTGTTGCCCAACAGTCGTCTTCCCTCTCACGCTGACAGTCGTATTGTTTTTGGCACGTGACGGCAGACGTGGGATGAATATTGAGGAAACAAACTTTATTGCTGAATGTGTTGCATGACAGTATATCACAGATCTGTTTTTCCATCGTTGGGCAATTTCCACACTTTCCACGACACGCAGGCATTTTGCTGTCACACACGTCAGATGCTTTGAGCACAGCACATAATTAAAGTCACTGTCTTTTCTTCTTCTTCTTCTTCTTCTTCTTTTTTTTTTTTAGTTTTTGTCATTTGGTTTTTGGAAAATATAGTTGAGAGGTTAAAAAAGTATTGTTTTGCTTTTGAAAGGTGATTTTAAACTCTAAACTTTTATATTTAATAATCCGTTCTGACAGCAGATCACTGAGATCAGCTCTGTTTTACTTTCAAACACTCAGGAAAAACACCAATTTTCACTCTGGAGTTCCCTGTCATCTCTGCAAACAAATGCAACTTTGAGAAAAACTTGTTATTTTCTTGCCAACACACCCTACAATCTCTCGGGCGTATATCTATTTTAGCAGTGACAGGAAAGAAAAGAAGTTTTACAGAAGTTAAAAGAGAATCTTATCTAACAAAAGTGCTTTTCTCCATCTCCTCAGCGATCACCATCAACATATATTCCCTTATTCTCTGATGTTTTCTTCAAAGCTTCTTTGACAAAGTAGTGGACGAATATTTAGTTCCACCACATCCTCATCTGGTCTGAAGCAAAATAAAACTTTTCCTACTCCAAACAGTGCTCGAGGTGAGGAGAGCGAAGACCACAGACGGAGCTTCATTTTCCACGGCTGCAGCCTCCATAAAACTCTCAGTTAAATGCCCCTGGAAGAAAAGAAGCCCCAGGTTTCCTCCTCTTCTTCACCCCCCCCCCCCCCCCCTCCCGTCCCCCTCCCTTCCGCCTCAGCCGAGGAGTGTAATATGAAACATTGGCCACTCTGTTTTCTACTCAGAACTCCCTTCGTCCCTCCGCCCTCTGTCACACACAGTAAAAAACACATTTGGCAGACTCACGTGCGCACACACCAAACACACACACACACACACACACACACACACCACCAGCACACACACACACATGCACAAACACTATACGCACATCGACGCAGAGCAGACAGGCTGAATGTATGCGGGACGGCACGTACACACACACACACACACCTCGGTTGCTCTGGCGAGTGAGTGGGAAATGTAATTTCCTGCGCAGGGTGGAGGGGAGGGGAGTTGTGTTGTTGAGATTGACGCCGAAGCAAAATCACACTTCCAGCTTGGAGGACAGCAGGCGCAGACCTCAGTCAGGGTTTTTTATTTTGAACACCACACAACATGTCTGACACAGGGGGAGGAAGGCTGGGTGAGTGGGTCTCAGTCTCTGTTTGTTTGGGGCATGTCTGTGGCCGACAAAATGATGGAGAAAGAACTTTTAATGTAGATGAATTTATCTATTTAAAGTTCGTAATCGTCATTTTAAATTATACTAGATTTTCCCTCAAGTGCTAAACTGATGTGGTTGCTCATACTCTTTCAAAGCTGACCCTTGAAAATCCATGGTTAATGTTGTGTCTGTGCTATCTCAGTGGGTGTGTCTACATCTATCTGTCCCACCATACTCTTTGTCTCATGTAAGCAGGATCCCACAGTGAATCTTTGTGCAGCAGTCTGTCAGCTCGAGTTTGTGCCATGGGACACTTTCTGGCTTTTAGTCAAACACACTCAGGAGAGG